AAAGAGAAATTGGATCGAGAAAAAAAAATATTTTCGAAATTGCCGAAGCTCGATTCTTTTTTTTCGTTGAATTCTGTTGCCATTAATTTTCATTCGAAATAATATTTTGAGAAAACTCGAATACCTGCTGCAAATAAAACAAAGTAATTTGGACACTTGTTCCATAGAGCCTACATCAAATATGAAAACCTATCCCGTAGAGTTTTTCAATGGTATAACATAACATTTCCTCTAATAATTTTTGTATATATTTTAGCTACTTTTTGAAATAAAAATAATTTACAATTTTTTTATTATAAAGAAAAGTCAATAAGAATATATAAACCCAACAATGTATTTTAAATATCATATAAATTAATATTATTCACAAATTAGTTCAATAAATTAAAATGGACTACATAAAAATCGTTTTAAGTTTTAATATTTTTTAATGTATTATTGTGCATATTATTATATATTTTAGATATTAAGAAAAGTTATCAATAAGATGACTTTAAAGAACTTGATATTTGGCATGAGTATTGTTTTTGTATTCTTCAACTTATATAAATGTGTATCTCTATTTGCGAAATTTTTATTTATTACAAAGGAGAGTATTACCCTATTTACTAAAACAGCAAACATTCTGTAAGTGTTACATAAATACTTCGAAATAATGTTTGCTGGATATGTTATCTTTCATTGATAATTTATGATGAATTTATTGAAATTATGCCAGGACTATTTAAAAAATTATAAAGGAAGTAAAAGAGGCAAAATATTATTTAATGAGCGCTGATTCAACTCCTGATATATTTCATGTCGATCAATTGATATTTATTTTGCGCTATTTAACGAAAGGAATTTTGAAAGAACGATTCATTAAATTTATTTTAAATTGTGGCCACAAATCTGAAGAATTTTTCAATGCCTTAACTAATACTCGTATTCTTAAAGAGTTTGATTTAAATGTTAAAAACTGTCGGAAGCAGTTATATAATGCCAGCGATATATCAGGAATATATGTACAAGACTTCAATTAAAACAATAAATTCCCTTGCTGAATTTATTCCATACTCAGCGCATTCTCTTCATCTTGTAGGCACAAATGCTGCGGAATATTGCCCAGCGGCTGTGCGTTTTTTTGCGTCTATACAAGAATTATATAATTTTTTCTCAGCATCAACTTACAGATGAAAAATTTTAACATCTAGATTAGAAGTAATCCAATAGTTTTTCTCAGACCAAATGATCAGCACGGCACGATGCTCGCACGCAAAAGTTTGTGTTTATCCTGGAATGCAATATTATCTGCATTGCATACTATTTTCGAAGATAAGTGCGAAAAATCCGTAATACGTTCTGAAGCATCAGGTCTTCAAAGTCTTAATTGCTTAGAAAATTGTTTCCTAATCGTCTGGAAGATTTCTTCTTAATCGTTCTTAATCTTTTTAATGCAGTAAATAAAACAGTTTGCAGATTCAAATCTGTGTACTGTAGTTGAATTGTACGAATCATTAATGAAATTTCTCGATGAGATTAGATTTTAATTTTTATGAAAAAGAAGTCATTGAGAAGTGTGAAATAAAAGAATATAATCATGATATTTCAAGTCGAAAACGAAAGATACCGTATAATTATCAGCAAAATAACGACGATGAAAATCCATTAAATGATAGCGATCATTATATTTTATGTAATTGTAGATTCACTTCTAGCTGAATTGAAAAACCAAAGCATCTATTATATTAATTTAAAATAAATTCGGCTTTCTAACAAAGTCACACGCACTAAGCCCAATTGTAATCACGCAAGAAGCTCTTAATCTGCAACGCAGTTACCCCGACGATCTAGAATTGACTCTAGATATTGAATGTCGGCATCTTAGTGCACATTTGCGAACACTAAATACAAAAGAAATGTCAGCGTCGGAATTGCGCAAAATGCTTTACGAGAATTTCTTATTTTTTATCCAAACGTAAATATTGCATTTCGAATTTTGCTTTGTATAATAGTGTCAAATTGTTCGGGTGTAAGTGTCTTTCCCAGTACTACGACAAGTGAAAAACTATAAAAGTATCCAGAGCAACAAGCGTTTAAATACCTTAGTATTATTATGCATTGAAGCAGAGCTTACTGTCGAAACAGATTATACTCATAATTGTTTAATTAATGAGTTTACCTTGCGAAAAGTGCGTAAAAGTGTGTAAAAATGTAAAATATATGCATTCAAATGTGCAGGTTTTTTTAGTGCTTGTTGAAGGGGGGCGGCAAAAATTCACTGTTTAGGGGCGGCAGAAACTTTAATTCGATTCTGAGAACCTTATTAAAAAAAAAAAAAATGGGAAGTCGAGCGATGTCGTTTCTAAATTAGAGCAGTTTGTGATTTGATGGAATTCTCCGTGCACGCCGACCGGCGAGACAGTAAAGAGGTGTCTTACTCTACATAATTCGCAAATCGCAAAACATAATTCGCAAACGCAAACGCAGAATGAAAATTTGCATTTGTTTTTTTCATTATATGCGGTTGGTTTTCATCTTGCATATGGTGATCGCTAATCTGTGTCAGCATTTGCGAACTATGTTTTGCGATTTGCGAATTATGGAGAGGCATTCTAACTGCAGTATGCTAACTCTTTCCGGAAAAAAATGTTTTATATATAATTATATGTAATTATACAAAATTATATAAAATTATACATATAATTATATGTAAAATTAACATATTTTATATACAATTATATATTCTATGAATTATTATATTCTATGAATATATAGTTTTATGTATTAGGTGTTGGAATTAATTCGTAGCGTTTTACAAGTGATGGGAAGTACTTTCATTAATGTATTTTTTAATGCTCATGTGAAATAAATAACATTCTTTCATTAAAAACGCTACGAATTAATTCCAACACCTAATATAAATATACAATAATGGAAAATTAGACTGACGATAATTATTTTAAGATAATTAATTCGGACTGAAGCGAAAAATTTTGAAAAACATAGTATTATATCTATAAAAATTGCTCTCATCTATTCATTTATCTAACATTGACAAACTAAAACTTGGCGGTATCAATTACGAAGAGAACTATTTACGTCTTGATTCTTACTAGAATGACTTTAGTGTGTACCGCTTGCTTAAAAAATTTCTTTTCAGTGAGCACGCGCGGAGAGACATATTCCTAGGTTTGTTCGCGATTAACTTTGTAACGCGATTGTAGCCGGAAAAATATCTTAAGCTTTTAATCTTAGTTTCATAAACTCAGTATCGTTTATGCACGTAAAAAGTTGGGTACTGAACCGTCGTTTTGTTCATTTGAGTTATAAAATTTTTGTATTAAGAAAATATCTACGTCAGATAACAGCTCTATGTGTTGAAAAAAATGTAAGTTTTTAACTTTTTTTCGATTTTAGTATGAAGTCAATTGCAACGTCTCCTAATTTTGCTTTATTCCGTTCTGTAAATTCGAAGATTTATATCGATTTGCAATGTCCCGACAATTTGGTCATTCGAGTATCCTCTTCATCCTTAGTATAAGTGTAATATATAATTATACATTCATATTAATAATATTTATTCTCAAACACACACACACACACACACACACACACATAAATCGTATAACAATTACAATTGATCGATAGTGGATTATTTAGTTATCTAGCATGTTAATATACCTCTATAATAATCCACACATATAATATTATAGTTATATCACAGCAATATCATTTTTTATTGCAATATTACAATATGATCTAGCAGAAATGTCGTTAAAATATTATTAAAATGTCATAATAACATTACAATGTCCGCAAAAAAGAATCATAGGAATATTACTGAGATATATCACGGAACACTATAATATTATAATATTTCTGTGATATTTATGTAATGTTTATATATATATATATATATGTATTTATTGGGAAAAATTAAAATATTTTAAAAAAATTTATTCAATTGATATTTTTAATGTTATTTAAAAAATTATTCCATATGATATTAATTAGAAAATAATACTGATTGTCAATAACAATAACTATTATATAATATTATGATAAACTAAAAAAGTTATAATAAATTAAACATTACTTATAAAATTATGTGTGTGTACATATAATTTTGTGATTTCTTAATAACGTTTCAATGATATCTGTAATGTCAATAAAATATCATAAAGGCGTCATTAATTATAATGTCACTCTGCTACTTTCCAAGTAAAATAAAAACGTTGAAAAAATGTTAAAAAAACATTTTTCCGTAATGTTGAATAACGATTATAAGTAAACGTTTTTAATACACATTATAAGTGTCCGTGTAGGAATCATTAAATGTAACGATTAATTAAACGTTTACGAAACTAGTATAAAACATTTCTTTTTACTGTAAAAGAACCATTTAAAATAATAAAACGTTTACCTATAAGTTTAGCTAACGTTTTTACAATATCTATATAATTTTTATAATAGGTCCCGGACGTTCGTTCATTGAAAAAAATGCATGTAATTTTACATGGAAGTTACATGTATATGACTGGAAATTTTCTCAAAAAGAAAATTTTCCGTCATATTTAAGTCATTTTCTAGTCACATACATGTAATTTCCATGTAAAATTACATACATTTTTTTCAGTGTTCGTTTTCCGGTGTGATGCGCAGAGTGCACATCGCTGACGTGCGAGTAAGAGTGTCGCCGAAGTAAGATAACAACAGTATTTGTAAATGCTGATTTCAATATGCTGCATGAAATGAAGAAATAAAATTCGAAATATTTCAATTGATACTTATACTTATGATAATAAAAAACGTATACGTTATTTACTTTCATAAAGGTGTTGTAATTATACGTTACTCACATTTTACAAAAATGTGTAAAAATTATCATTCATGTACATTATAATACTTTTCTTCTACTTTTTTTTTACGTTAGGCATTTGGCCTGTGTTACACCTTTCTCATATTTATGTCATTATTCTTGTGCACACATTGATTGAATTGCACAAGCATTTGAGACTTACAGTTTTAATGCCGGTTCCGAAGGGCGAATTTTCGAGAGATGTTTCTATGGGCAAGGGTACTCTTGGGACTCTCGGGAGGTTGTCGGTCTTTTCCGAGAGGAAACACAAGCGTAAATATTTTGGTTTTTACTGAGATCAAACCCAGAACCTAACATAATAGATTAGTGTCTGTCTACCATGCCACGCTCGCACTCTATATATTTTTAATCACTCAAAAAAAAATCATTATACAGTAATAATGAAACAATAAAGCAGACTTATATATATTTTTAAATGACGGGATTTTTTCATTATAACATATAAATTTAAATATATACATATATATACAGGTGTGGCGGTTTTTTAAATTTAAATTAATAATAGTGACTATATTATTGATAACATCATGTCGTTTTAAATGTACGTAGTTTTAAATGTACGTAGTTTCCTAAATCAGATTTTAATTTACATTATTTTTTTCTTTTAGTTTTTTCATAATACAATTTTAAATTTAAATTTAAAATCAAAAAATTTAAATAAAAAAATTTAAATTTATTATGAAAAAATACGATGAAAAAATATGTAATATATAATATTTCTGATATTACTGCGTATGTGATATTACGGATATATTATGTAAAAAGGTTATCACATTCACATCACAATAAAGTCACAATAGTCGAAAAGAAAATATGAGATTATCATAATCACTGTGAGATTATCATAATAAAATAACACATATTACATTCGCACATCATCATGATATTACATTATGATAAAAGGGACATTTGCACTGTGACGTAACCATGACGTAACCATAATTGTAGTAATGCAATTGACATTTTTGGGAGATAATTATATGATATCCATATTATTATAAAATTTGTTAATTATTGTATTTAACTATTTTTGTTTCAGAAAAATTTAGAGATATTTTTTCGATGTGAATAAAACAACCAAAAAATCTTTGATCGTAGAGGCATCAAATTGTAATATAATTCTTATCAAAAGGTATGTAATTTTATTTCTGCTTGATATACATTACTTTGCAATTATTATTTCGTAATTTATATTTTAATTCAGCTATACATATGTAATAATACATTGTTGCTGCAATTTATTAAGCATACTATAAAATAACGATATTTATATTATTAATAAATAAAATAGATATTAATTAAGATATCCTTTAATTTAGTTTACAAAAAACGTATTACAATCTCTTGAGGAGGAACCGATATTTTTTACTTTGAAGCGGTATTTATACGCAAAGTGAGTTATGCAATATTATAAATTAGTATTCACAATAATTAGATGTAAAAAATATGCATTTTTAAATAAGATATCTTTGATTTTGAAAATTCTGACGTAAAATATAAATGTTTTTATAACACATGTATACCTACTCTTTTATAGTTATATTACAATGCATATTATCTTTAAAAGATAGTGTAATAAAGAAGTATTATAAAATAATTATTGTAAACTATTATATAATGATAATGAAATGGTAAAAAAAAGATTATAACTTCTTAGAGTTATAATCTTTTGTTATCACTTCATTATTATTATATACTATGCAGTAATTATTTTATCTTTTTCATTATGCTATCTTTTCTGATATAATACTGCAAAATAACTGTTACATAGTTAATGATTAAAGTTATGCTTTACAAAGATATTTATAACATATATTTAATAGCATGTTACATATAGCATTGAGCTTATCTAAAATTTCTGCAATAACCGGAAAGTCAATAAATGATAAAGCACTGATGAAAGAATCATACAAAAAAACTGATTATAAATGGGAAATCGTTTGGAAAAATGTTATTATTTTTACCTATATTCATCTTGCTACCATTTACGGAATATACATGGCTTGTTTGTATGCTAAATATTGGTCAATTCTATGGTGTACGTATCATTTATTTGTTTCTTTGCTAGATTACGTAAGCTTCATAGCATTTATCAAACCATAACATATCTATAATTTATAGTTGTTGCTCTTGGTATCGCTGCGATTATAGGCACTACCGCTGGCTCTCATAGATTATGGTCCCATCGATCTTACAAGGCAAAATGGCCCATGAGACTTATTCTCATGATTTTCCAGACCATCGCTTTTCAAGTAAGTTTAGCGTCAACTTTGTTCGATTCGTCAAAGTGTTGCATAGAAGACACATTTAATCCTTACAGTACACGATATAATTTGATGCCTCATCCGTCCAAACATGGATCACTAAAATCCGTCTGTTTTATTCAGAATGGTTAAAAAAAATCTCTAAACATTCACCATATTTTCAACATGTTTTCAACTTTCTAGAATAAATATTGAAACTTTATTTTGGAAAATAATAACATGTAATATAATTTATAATTATCGAAAGACTCAAAGAAACTTGCACGAACAGGAATTGGTCGATCACTAGTGATCCGACCTTGTACGATAAAATAGACTAAAGATGAAAATCCTACATTTTGTTTTTTTTAATAAAATTTTATACTTGATGATATTATCTATTATCAATGTAATACGTTTTATCAGGATGATATTTACCAATGGGCCAGGGACCATCGCGTGCATCATAAGTTCACCGATACCGACGCGGATCCATACAATGCGCGCAGAGGATTTTTCTTCTCGCATATCGGTTGGCTTTTAATTCGCAAGCATCCTGATATCGTTATTAAAGGCGCCACGATCGATTGCAGTGATCTCATGCAAGATCCACTTGTAGTATTTCAAAAAAAGTACGACAGGCACAGTTTGTTTCTGCCAAAAGCCAGAACAAGATGTGATTAGACATGTAATTTAATTATTTTATATTCACATTTTTTCCTTAGGTGGTACAAGTATTTAATGCCGCTCTGTGCTTTTATTATACCAACGTTAGTGCCTTGGTGGGCATGGAATGAGAGTTTATGGTATTCATGGCATTTTGCAATCTGTAGATATTGCATAAATTTAAATATCACTTGGTCGGTGAATTCCGTGGCTCACATATGGGGTACGAGACCATACGACAAGTACGTATTAATTATCAAATGCACATTCATATGCACATTATATTACATTCACATTATATTATATTCACTTTAATATAAAATTAGTAAAATTGTTTATATATTGTATAATACATTACAGTATATTTGATATTCTGTTGATACTTACGAACATTTATTTTATCCAGATCTGTCAGCTCTACTGAAAATATTGGAGTTTCTTTGTTAGCGTTTGGTGAAGGCTGGCATAACTATCATCATGCCTTTCCTTGGGATTATAAAACGGCGGAACTTGGAAATTATAAATTCAATTTGACCAAAACTTTTATTGACTTTTTCGCTTATATCGGTTTGGCTTACGACTTAAAGACCGTATCTGCTGATGTGGTAAAGAAACGTGTTCTTCGATGTAGCGAGCCAACTGACAATCCAACTATTACGTAGAATAAAATATTAAATAAATTAATTTTTTATTCAAAACTAATTATTTTTTAAACTTGTCTTGTACAGAAAAATTTACTTTATATTTTTGGTTTAATTTTTAATATGTGTAGTCAAATCAATTATCTTTTTAATTATTTCACCAGAACATTAAACAAAATCTTATATTTTTAGTATAACTTATATATGTACTTGTTTTTATGTAATTATTTATGCGAAAAAATATTTTGCGATAAAATAAATGATGTTGATTTTTTATTGTGAGTATACTTCAATCCAAAAAATGCATTCGTATAAAATAAGTTTGAATGTGAAAATAGACATTTTTATATGCAACTAATACAAAATAAAATGTTTCAAAATAAAAACGTGATGTAACAATTTAGAAATCGGATTCGTATTAGCATCCAAAAAATTGTAAAAAATAACTATAATAGTGTCGCTCTGATGTCCCTTTTTTGTTAAACATTGTTATTAATTTTATATATGTCAAACACTGCTATTAATTTTTATATAATATGCATTTTATATAATATGCAAGTACATATATGGTAGTTCAAGTAGTTTGAATTATTTAAGCAATAAAGATCTAGCTTTGACCATTATAGACATTTTAATTTTTAGTATTGATTGTGTTCTCACATATGCAGTCTAAAATAAAGATTTTTAATAAAAAATTAAAATTAATTTTATATACAACTTTTTTTGTGCATTATACAAATAATTCATGTTATTTACATACTCACTTAATTATATTTTATCAAGTCTAAAATATGCAATCGATTTTGTTAAATCACTCACTCCACTGCACAATATACTCGCGAATAAAAACCTCTTCGATGCACTGTGCACAGTCTTGTCTTCCTTTCATATCTGTACTGTCTGGTGTAGCAATTAAACGTAAAGTAAGTTTGTCGTTTAATGTTGATCAATTTACTATGAAAAATTACAAATGTCTTGCTATTATTTGATTCTAATTGATATAACACGTATTTAATATCTATACAGTGTGATAGAAATACTTTAAATATAATTACAGTGTGACGTAATTAAGTGCAAAATCGAAGTTATTGTGACAAGAAAGAGACTGATTTTATAATTTAATTTTCTTAATTCTTTGTCTTCTATAATATTTATAAAAGAAGTTCTCTGGGAAAAAATGTTTCATATATAATTATATATATTATAATATTATATATAAAATTATATATAATTATATATATAAAAAATTGACATATTTCATATACAATTATCTATATCCCTATATGTAATAATATATAAAATATAAAACTATATATATAAAACATTTTTTCCGAGTCGACAAGTATAAAATTAAAAAAATATAAAATTTTCACAAGTATGGAATAGATAAACTTAATTATTACAAATAATTATTTGCAGTGATTTTCATTAAAGATAGAAATACATTCTTGAAGAAAAATCAATGTTTATGTTCGTAAGCAATTATCATCAAAACAATAAAAAATACAAAAAAATGTTTCGAATAAAAATTTTATGATTTTGAAAGTATTTCATTATGACGTGATTAGATTTTTCAAAATTACCCTTACTTATATTTTTTTAATTGAAAAATTTTTTTAACAATTCAATATGGCTGTGGTGACTACTCAGGAATTTAAAGGACTTTAAAGTTTATTTTACGCTAAATTCAAGCATTAATATAATAATAGTTACATTCCATAAATATCTTCTTGAAAAATAATAGCTGAAAACGCTTTTCTTATGCATGATATTAATTTTATTGGTCTACTATTTGACCACGATGGCCTCTCTTTCTCTCTCTCTCTCTCTCTCTCTCTCTCTCTCTCTCTCTCTCTCTCTCTTTCTCTCTTTCTGTAATTTTTTGCTGTGCAAGTTAACGATAAAACAGAGAGATACTTGTAATAAATTTAATTACATAAGTAATTTTGTCTATTATACATTTTATATATGTATAGAAGAGAAGGTGATATGGCCAGTATAGGTATAATGGCCCCTTATATCTCCGCTATTAAGTAGTGAATTCTAGCGATTACTTATGGAATTATTTGCTTAGTAGCTCGTTGTTACAGCATGACGCTAATATGTCAATACATAATAGTCAGCATTTATTATACTAACATATTTTTATTTTTTACTCTCAAACATTTTGAATGTTTTTAAGATATATTTTAGCATTTAATTACGCATATTTCCCTATTCTTCTTAAACTTGAACATATTATTACACAAATATATGTATGTTTGAATGTGTTTTTTGTTATTTGACATTTTATTTTGGCTGTACAACATTTCAAATTATGCAAAGTAAAATAGTAGTATGATATTTTGCTAATGTGATCCTCTAAACATGTTGATTACTAACGCGGTCTCTTTTTCGAAGTTTTCATATCAAAATAATTATTTTGTAAATCGATTGCAGCTCTGCAATTAATCTATAGTTTATATTACATGTATCTATATTTTTAGTATTGAGCAGTCTATATGCTGAAGAAGTTATGTGTATATACATACATTTGCGTAATTTAAATATATATACTCTACTATATTTTACTTTTTTATTAATTTTGCAATTCCTGTTTTTTTTTAAACAAAATCAATTTTTTAAATCTATTTTTGTGAAAGATCATATTATCATTTTTGTTTCTCTTCGAGCAATTGCAGTGTCGCCACTTTTATAAATTGTGTCTTAAGTAATAAATATTTTGTAACTAAAAACCGATTAAATAACATTTTGACAAATTGTTAAATTTTAAATTCAAATATTGATTATTAATCAAGTTATTGTACAAAAAATAAATGTGCTATAATATTATCTTTTCCTCTAATAATCAATGTAATTGAAAATCAAAGTTTTGAATTAAATAATTTCTAATTTCGAACTTTTGCAATAATATTGAAGATTATCGTTTAGATTTGAAAATTATCGTCTAGAATAATACAGCGCAATAAAATAAATAAATGCACTAATGTATTATATTATTATATAATTTTACCAGTGCTTACTAAATTAATACGTTATATTTTTTATACACATAACATATCATTTAGCCTATTAACTTGTAAGGAGGTTTTTCTTAATCATGGAATTAAATAGATTACTTACTGATGGATACCGGAAACGAAAAATAATACAGAATTGGTATTTTTAATCACACACACTGAGAGAGTATTATATTATTAATACGTTAATGCATTCGTTCATTTCGCTGCATTGTATCACTCTAGATGATAACCTTTAAAAAACCACAATTGATAAACGGCCCCTCGATATTTAAACGAACAAACAGAACAAATATATAAAGCAACTGAGGGTAACGACGCGGTAATTAGTGCGCAATAAGATTTCCAGTAAAAAGAGTGTATTTATTTTATATTACATACTCCATATAAAAAATCAAATGCTTTATTTAAATAATTTTCAGTGATTAAGTACTATATACTAATTCTTATTTCTCATTTCCGATATCCATCGGTAAGTAATCCATTCATAAGTAATCTGTTTAATCTTTCATGATTAAAACAAGCCTCTGTACCAATTAATAAGCTAATTGATATGTTATTTGTGTGTGAAATACAAACTAATAAGTGTGAAAAATATAATTAATGAATATTTGGTGGCATTGGTAAAATTATATTACCTACTCATCGACAAAAAACCAGGAACGAGATCACATATTTGTATCGTTGTTAGTATAAATTAAAATTAAATGAAATTAAAATGAAAAAATTAAATTAAATTATAAATAATTAAATAAAACAATTTAATTAAAATAAATCAATTTAAAAGCTCGTCATTAATCCATAACTAAATTACACGGAAGCAACAAGTGATGAACTGCAATAAGAAGTTCCACATCAATTTATATAAAAGTAAATATGATAATAAATATTAAATAATAAATTTATTAAGCATGACAATATGTCATTTTTTTATTTCGTATAAACAGCAAATTTAATAAAAATATGAACAGACGACAGGGTTGCGAGAGTCTAAAGTGGGTCTAATTAGTGCGTAGATTCAATAGATTCAATACAATTTTTTAAAAATTAAATTTAATCAATTAGTTAGACATTAAGAATCTTGCAATATCCTGCTTTGTTTCGGCTTTAATATTTGAGTTCTCTTCAATGACAAAAACGTAATAAAAAGTAAAAAACTGCACGTCGTTAGATACTGTTAAACATAAAACTCTAGGTCAGTGGATAAAAATTATTGTTCAACCAGTTGAAAGACTAAATGGAAACACGTTTATCCTACATTAAAATCAAATGTTAACAAAGACAATGTTTGCAACAGTTGGTTAGAAATAAAAAATATATATAACTCACCTCATAAGTAACAGCAGTTCACACAAAATTAAAAAACGGATTCTATATAGAAAGTCAGAATAAAATTATATAAAAATGTGGAAATATACGAAAACGAGATTATAAAATTGTACATTATAAAAGATAGGTTCTTTCTACTCGAGTTTGAATAGAATAATGCGTTGACAATAAAATGTCAAACTAACAAACATGGCGGAATTGACAAAGTGTTGTTTTGCGACATGATAAACCAAAAATCACTCTTAAATTCCAGCGCAACCTTTATTTTTCTAAAAGATCTGTTCGGGTTACTTGAAATTCTTACAAATTTTTGCATTTAAAATGAGTTTATTTAAATACATATTCGGGCGTTGAAGACAGAGAAAACAAAAATACTGAGTGTAAAGAATGCAAGCAACATGAACAAATCTAAGATTTTTCTATTTATGTCAGTTGCAAAATTTAAAATGCACGGACGCTATTTGCTACTGCACATCTTCGAGAATATAACACCTTATCTAATTCCGCCATTTTTATTAGAAAGACACTTAAATATTATTAATAATTAATGAGTACGTATTATTTTTAGACCCTGTTTTCGATCTATTTTTAAATTGTGCGTCTTTTTACATGTACCATTTCCGATAACAAATAATAGATCATTTATACTAGGCGTCATCTATAATATATTAATTTATAGTGTAATCTGTAAGCACTGACCAATCATAATCGAATGAAGGAGGAATAATCGATTATGATTGGTTAATTTTAACAGATTACAGCTAGTAAATGATCCTTAGGTCACACGATCAAAAGAAACATTTTTATTAGAAAGATACTTAAATATTATTAATAATTAATGAGTACGTATTATTTTTAGATCCTATTTTCGGTCTATTTTTAAATTGTGCGTCTTTTTACATGTACCATTTCCGATAACAATCTTTTGTTAAGATATTTTTTTTTATTCAAAATCTTCACTTTCCAACAAAATTCGTGATTGTAACTTATTCTATACTCACAGTAATGACCAAAGTAGTAGAAATGTTTCTTCTAGTATTCTAAGATACCTGTTTTTAATTGTCAGTCTGCTCTATATAATCCAATAAAAAATTTTTCATGCATGAATATATATAAATATGTATTAGTTTACATATTTATATGTATTAACGCATGAAAGTTTTTTTACCGGGTTATACAGGGCAATTGGTAAATAATTAAAAACAAGAATTTTAGAACATTTATAGAGCCGCATTGGAAGAAACATTTCTATAAATTCGGTTATTACTGAGCATGAGATGAGTTACCAATTTTGTTAGAAGGTAGAAATTTTGGATAGTGAAAGATATATCAGCAAAAGATCGTTATCGGAAATGACACAAGAAAACAATACAATGATTTCAATTTAAAATTTTTTTCATGCATAAGCATATATAAATATACATAAACTTTAAACATATTTATATTTATGCATAAAAAATATTTTACCGTATTTTTATATGTAGGGCAAACTAGTAAATAGTTAAAAAAACAAGAATCTCATAACATCAAAGCCACATCAGAAGGAATATTTCTAATTCGGTCATCACTGAACATAGGATGAGTCACAATCAATTTTGTTGGGGCAAGATAGAGATTTTGAATAGTTAAAAAATAATGAATAACTCATTAGGACCGTATAATATGAATACACAATAATTAAAAAATAATTCCTACATCGATCAAAGTTGAATCTTGAGTACTTTAAATAATTTTATGTGAATTTATGTATCATTGTCTCTTAAATTGCATGCCGAATTGAAATAATGTTTAATTCATTTTAATTCATTTTAATAAGATCTTAATATTAAAAAACTAAAATAAATGTTTTTACAGTTTTTCAATACATTAAGATTTTTAAATGATGCTAATAAATCATCTAGATAATATGTACTCATCGATTATCAATAATATCTAAGTGCTTTTTCAATAACAATGTTTCCTATGATTGTGATTTATTTGTTAGTATATTTTGTAAACTCATTATTCTATTCAAATTCGAATAGAAAGGACCTATTTTTAATAATGTTCAATTTCATTATTTTGTCTCGGTTTCATTTACGTATTTCTATATTTTTATATACATATAATTTTATTCTGACTTGTGTGAAAAATGAATGTGTGCCAAATTCATTTTTTTTAAATTTTGTTGCATGAACTGCTTAAAGTAAATCTTACATATATATTTTTTTACTTTTGATCAAACCGTTACAAACATTGTCTTTGTTAACATCTGATTTTAAGACAGGTTGGACGTGATTCCATCTAGTTTCCTTCAACTAGGGCTGCGATCGGAAACATCACCTGGGTGTTCCCGCATATCAGCTTATCCTTGTTTAACATTGGGTGAACAACAAGGATAAAACAATATATGGGTGATGTTTCTGAACTAGGGCTTCAAGATTGATTCGGATTTAAAGCTATCCGGATATCCGTTTATCCAAATTACGAATAAATGTGATGCTTCAAATTTGGGTTATCCGGAGAGTCGAATTTTTTAAGATATCCGAATCTGAGATCCGAATAGTAAAAGTCGAATCCAGATCCGGTTTTCAGATTCGGTTTCGAACTCGTAGCAAACTTATAGCGAATTCGATTGGATGCATTAGTGCGGACATAAATGTATATTAAAGTCATTATATTATACACTTATTTAATCTAATTGTTATTTTTTTATAGTGTGAAGTATATTTTTGGATTTTCAGTCGAGTCATCGACATCAAAGATGACGCCAAATATTTTAAATACAGATTCAAAAATACTTATGGAGAAAGATTTACAAAATGAGGAATCTTCAATTACTACAAAGATGATAGATGCTGAAAATTACACACAAAACAGAAGCAAAAACTATACAAAAATTGAAGGCTGGTTCAAAACGGAACCGAAATGGTTTAACATTTTATATCTTGGTGTGCTTCATTTATACTTTGTATATGCCTGTTTTACTTTTGATTTTTTTGAAAATCTGATGACGACTGCTTGGTGTAAGTATTCTTTGGAAAATTCTTTCATTAATTTAATTCCTTGATATCCTAAAAAAATTATACAACAAAAGATTAAATTTAGACCACTAACGAATTAATCATTAAAATTATAATGCATGTTTATAAAAAATATTACATAAATATTAATATTAAATGTTATAACATTCATTTATTATTAATTCAATAGTAACATAAAACAAACAATAGTACATAAAACCTTTGTTTTGACCTTTGTTAGATCATCCTCGATATTAGAAAATTAATGCACTAACTCAGTTTTGAATGTAATGAGAATGACCTAATAAAAGTCGAATCGTTTATTTTTTATATTACATTGTTGAATGAATAATAAATGAATGTTATAACGTTTAGATTTGCAACAAAAATTAGCATTGACTCTTATGCTCCTTTATATATTTTGCCTTAGTTTTAAAGCCAGTTAAAGTCTTTAAGTATTCATTGTGTTATAAGTTATCATAAATTGTTAAATGTCGCAGTAAAATCGGTGCTACATGACTCTCCATAAGAAATACGGCTTAAGTTATTACGCATAATATTAAAGCTATTTTTAATGTTAATTATGTCCATGTTTTTTGTTTCAAGTATTTGTCACGTATGGATTAGGAGGAGTAGGTACCACTGCCGGTCCTCATCGTTTGTGGACTCATCAAGCTTATAAAGCAAAATGGCAGCTTAGAGTTATACTTGGTATTTGCTATGCTTCGGCTGGCATGGTAGACATTTATAATTACCATTTTATTTGTTTTATGCAAGAAAAAATTTTTTTATTACAATTAAACCCTTTCAGAACAACATTTACGAATGGGTACGAGATCATAGAGTGCACCACAAATATACAGATACCGATGCAGATCCGCATAACAGTAACCGAGGGTTCTTTTTTTCTCACGTCGGTTGGTTAATGGTGAAAAAAAATCCAGATGTAATTCGAAGAGGTCGTCAGGTGGATATGAGCGATGTATTGGCTGATCCTGTTGCTGCATTCAATATCAAGTAAATTTTTGCAAAGAATTAATTATATCAAATAGTTTCATGTTGGAAAAGACAAAAGAAAATTTGAGGAAAAAAGAATATTATGAAAAGGCTCATTTTTGCTGTGTCAGTGAAAAGTAAAATCAACATCATTTTTTATAATTGTTGAAGCAAGGAATCTGATGATGCTAATTAAAATTACGTTGGATTATAAATTATTTGACGAAAATTAAGCGTATAAGAAATTAAATTCAATGTTGTCAAAACATGATAGGTGATGTCATTCGTGCGGTATAGATGACACTATATGTATTGATGAGATAATGTGATATATTATATATGTTTCCACATGATTAAAGAAACAAATCTTTGATTAAAAAAACACGTTATGATTATTTTCAGTGCTCAACGAACATTTCGGTTTATTTCAGAAATTATTTGACTTTAAAATTTTTAATTTAGCTATATTAAATATATGTACACTGAAAGAAAAGATTGATTGCTGCGGCAAATTATATGGTAAAATATGACATAGCATTTTTAATTGACTAGCAGTCAATTTTTTGTTGCGTTAGCCGCAATGTTAATACAGGATTTTGATAGGTTAACAAAATAAAAAATTGGCTGCTGCAATTAAAATATTCTATGTTATACTTAGCCAATCTTTTTTTTCAGTGTATAATTCTTTATGTTATAATATTTCTATTTTACAGTTTAGAAGTAATTGTGATAAAAATGTAATACATTTTTTTGAACACTAATGTATTGTTAAAATATACTAAAATGTTTTTCTCATTTATTGGACTTTTTCTCAAAAATTTGATAAATATGTCGCTACGAAGATTCGTTATACGTTACATCGTTATTGTTTTGTCCAAATACTATAATGTCTAAATAAGGAGATGTGTGTGAAACGACGGTCGAATTTGATTAATATCAATAAAGCAAATTTTTAATTCCAAAGTAAAACATTATGTACATTAAGTAAAACGTTACGTGCATTAAGTAAAACGTTACATGCATTAAGTTAAACATTAATTGTAGCATTACGTACATTTTTTGTGTCCTATATATCGCAAGGTTACCTACACAGCACGAAGTGCTCGATAGGTGATTGTCGGTCGGCAGAAGAAGTTTAAAGTTAGACTGATTGTCTTGACTACAATTGACTGTCAGTCAGTCAATGCAGTCAATACAAAGTCGATTTTATGGCGACTATAAGTAAACCATTGTGAAAAGCATTTCTTGATAAAAAATTTTTTATATATGTACATAATTATATGCTAAAATCTAAAATAAGTATCATTAATTAGCATCATATTTCAATCCAGCAAATTGCAAATTACATGTATAACGTACATGTTGGTTATAATTTCTCACTCAACAACATACAATTATAACATAACACATGTGTTATAGTTATATTGTTGAGTGGGAAATTAACTTGGTGTTTGCTAGAAGAATACATACGACAAAAAAATTATGATAAAAAGAATGTTTCCTTGTGAATTCGGGAATTAATTTCATAGTACTTTAAAGCGATCTTAAACTAAACTGTATCACATCTAACGCTTCTTGATCTCTGCAATCATATAAAAACTGCTTCTTCGATGATTGACGAACACTGATTATTAATGCATGTTAGCTGCAACTAACTGTGATATAGCTTTAACACATTTGATTAATAGGTAGGTATAGGATGTAGTGATGCAGTTCGATATGAGAATCTCTGAATGTCGTTTTAGAACTTCTCGTCTTATTTGAAATAACATTTCAGAGATTATCATTTTTTTTCATCTCGACTCGTTTTGCCATGAAAAAAATTTAAAAGACATCCGTAAGTAATTTTAGCTTAAATTAAGTCTTTTAATTAAAAAAAATTTGTTTTTTACATACTCAATTACACATTTAAAATTTTTTGCAAGTGAATTTCTTATAACTATGATAACTATCATTTTGATGTTCTATATGTTTGTCGAGCTTTAAAAAATCTCATATTTATATGTAAATTCATTCTTAAAAAATATTGATTTTAATGTACAAAATCAATTAAATTCGGGATTTATGTAAAATAAAATAGCTCTTTTTAATTGGAAAGTCAATTCAACCTAAAATTAGTGACAAATTTCTTTATATTCAATGAGGATTAAGCATTTTGCTGCCCCTAAGCAACATTTAACCGCCCCTAGGTGGCTTTATTAATTTATAAATTTGATAAAAGGGAAAATGGATTGAAAAATTGATTTATATCCCCGTATTAGTTACTAAAAAACATTCAATAATCCTTAATAAGTAATATAAATATAATATATTTTTAACTGTATATTTAAAATATCTTTCTGATAAAATATGCTCAGTGTAACTCGTACAAAAATGTTAAATTAACAAATTAAAAATTTATTTCAACTGTGTGAAATTTTTCTGTCTTGAAAAATTTGTCTCCCTAGACAAGTGCCTTGCTCGCCTATGCATTAATTCGTTACTGTTCATATTACGTATGAAATGACTGTAATTATTTTTAAAAAATCGTCCTCTAACCCTGAGACTTACTTACTGTAAGCAGAGTTGATAAAAAATATATTTTAAACTTCTTCGAACTTAAAACATACATGCTTAATTGAGGTTTTTGAAACAAATTTAATAATAATATCATTTTATAGAACAAAATTTCAGAAAAATTTATTTTTTTAAATTATAGTACGATGATTTTTACGTAATTATGAACAATCAAAATAAAAATTCTTCTTTATTCAATCTACATAGCTTGTTAATAAAAAATCTTAGAAATATTTTTAAAAAACAATTTTGTAGTTTTACGTTAAAGTCAAAGATTTTCGCAAGTACTTTTTAGGTTTACGACAATATATTTTTGCAGCCTTCTCAATTTTAGAAATTTTTTTGACACAGATTTTTTTACGTACGATATAAAACTGTTATGAAAATTATATATTGTAATTAATTTATACTATTTTGCAGATATTTTCCGATATTGAAATTTATGTTCGCTTTCCTGCTTCCGGTGATGTTGCCTGTGTATGCGTGGAATGAGACTTGGTATAGAGCTTTCGTGTCTCAAAATATTATTCGTTATGTTATCCTTTTAAATGCCATATGGAGTGTCAACAGTGCAGCTCATATTTGGGGTTCAAAGCCATATGATGCGTAAGTAGATAATTAATATCAATATTATTTACACATAATAAATTTGATCAGAAGACATAAAGCTTTTGCCATTTTGTATTGTCTAAGAATAATTTTATCTCGTTTATTTCAATGGCAGGCATATAAATCCGACAGAGAACCAATGGGTTAACTTGTTTTCGGGCGGTGAAGGACTGCATAATTATCATCATGTTTTTCCGTGGGACTATAAGGCTGCCGAGTTACACGGTTCCCCAACCACAACTTTTATTAACTTCTTTGCGAAAATCGGGTGGGCGTATGATCTCAAAGAACCGTCGAAGGAGCTCGTAAAAACTGTCATGAGGAAAAGGGGTGATGGAAGTCATTCTTTGTGGGAAGCTGTGCCATATCCAGCTATAAGTAAAATTGAATAATAAAAGTGACAGAGAAATTATCTCATTTTCATAATAGAGTTTTTTTCAGTTAACAAGTGGACGCACAGAAAAAAAACTAAGTTTAAGTAAATATATTTATAAATTTACAAATGGCTCACAAAATACAAATATAAAATATAAGGAACATGCAGCCACACGTAGGATGTTTTTTGCGAATGAATATATTTAAAATTTTTATGTTAACAAAAACAATTTCATAAACGTTTCGGCTCACATTTCGGTTCCCTTTTTCTTTCCATGATAGATATAAATTTTGACATGATTGAAAGTCATCAAGTCAGATATCACACAACTTTTACAAATTAAAGCATTTCCGTCTCTTGTGTCATTACTTTATTTCTCATATACATAGAAAGAAAATCTCAGTGTAGACAGCGAACAATGTAAGAATTGTTGTAACAATACAGATATAAGTATGTCTAAAATATGAATCTATAAATAAGGAAATAGTTTTTGTAACTTTTAAATGGATTTTTTACTTTCAATTAGAATCTGGAAATCTGATGTTTTACATAATGTTTCAATAAATCTTTTATTAGGAGATTAATGAAGGCAAATTATTTTTGACAACTTACACAAACATAGACTATAACGAAATATTTTTATTGTTTATTTTAATTCCTTTATTCTTATGATTACAAATTATTGATAAATTATTTATATTACATATTGAAGATATATTGACCTGAACTTAGGCGGAAACGTTTACGAAATTGTTTTTGTTAACGTAAGAATATTTTAAATAGATATATGACATTCGCAAAAAACATTCTGTGTGTGGCTGCATGCTCCTTGTATTTTATATTAAGTAAATATTATTTTGAATAGTTCCAAGTAATGTTTATTAAATGTAAACATATATTTATTTGATACAAGAACCATTAGTTTGATTTAAGTATCATATTTACTTTTATTGAGCAAATATTTACTTATTCTAATTAAATATTTACTTCAAACTATTCAAAAAAATATTTATTCAGATTTAATAAATTTTTTTTCAGTGCGCGATTAAAAAAAATCACAAATGTTAATATGATAATATAAACTTAATTTTGTTAATATGATAATATAAACTTAAGTTTTAATTTTTTATACTGTAATATTTCTTTGATCTTTCATTGTCCATCCGAAAATTCGAAGATCCAGATGAATATTCAATTTTAAATTATTTATTAGACGGTAAATGGAAGGGATCTCCCCTCTCTAAAAAATGTTGATTTAACAGGAACTTATTAGTCAAGTACGCAGTAGTTTGTCACTCGTGTTTCATGCAGCGACTGAAAGTTAAGCGTATGACATCAATTGGACAAGTAAACTTTTTATATAATTTTTTATTATTTTTAATTTTTATTTCGATATGTAAAGAATGTGAATTACATATATAACGATGCATTACAATTTTACTAATAAGGAGAGGCTATGTTCTATTCTTCACCGAATTCACTTCATTTTCATCAAAATTGCAACGATGTTTGAGATAACTACCAAGTGAACATCTGTAAAGTTATTCCCGCTAATGAACCGAGTAAAGAACATTTAAAAATATACCAAAAATCTGAAAATAGTCTAATATCTTGGAAAGTATGTATTTCTGAAAAAAAGTGTCTTAGACAAAAATGGGATGGGCAAGTCAAGGTTGACAGTGCCATCCAAAGTAAAATCAATAAAATTAGCAAGTCAACTTTTTTTTAAACTAAGTTAAGTAAAGTTAACAATCTTGAAAATTTAACTTAATTAAAATACAAATTAATCTATAATAAAATTAATTGAATTAAAAGTTAAGTTAATAAAAAAAGTAATTAAAAAGTTAAAATTAAAAGTTAAATTTGGTTCGAACGAACAATAAAAAAAAAAAGAAAAAATTTGATTATTTTACATAATTTTTCGTATTTTTCCTTTTTCACAGCTTATTAAAGAATCTGGTTATTTTTGTTTACAAATATCGATGATACAATATAAAATTACTAAATTACATACTCATTAGCCTTTGGCATTATATCTAAAGATTGACTTTAAAAAAATCAAATTAAAATTAATAGTTATCGATAAAATGTAACTAAATTAAATTAAAAGTTAAGAGTCTAAAATGTAACTAAGTTAAGTTAAAATTAATTAATTTTTTAACTTTTTAACTTAACTTTTAACTTAGCACTACCCAATCCTGAAAATCAGTAAATACATCTTATTAAACCCTATCACTTTTATCTAAGATACATTTTTCAAAAATGCATACTTTCCAAGATATTTGATTGTTTTTAGATTTTTGATATCTTTTTAAATGCTCTTTACTTGACTTCTAAAGCTTTTTAGCAGGAATAGCTTTACAGGTGCTTTCACTTGCTAGACTGCTCTAACATCGCTGCAAGTTTGATCAAAATCGGTGAAGAGCAGACCGTAGTCTAGCTCTCATTGTAAGTTATATTCGTGCGTTCTGATAAATAAGTTAGATAAAAAGCTCTTTTGCTCTTAGAAGAAATGTGATAACAACTTCCCTTCTAAATGAGCAATTTTATAATAAAATTCGTTTTTGTGCAAAAGATAATTTTTTTTATATTACCGATTTTATATTATTTTTTCCTATTTTTTTATAAATAAAAATTCCTTATTTTCATGTTATTAAATAAATATAATTATTAAATATTAACCCTCCATGTCTTAAGTTTTCACTGCTTTCTTAATTTATGTTTTCTAAAAATTTTTTAAGTTTTAAAAAATCTGAAAAAATTTTGATATATTATACTTTTTCTACACTCAAGAAAACAATTTTATAATAATATGACTCGATATGTTTTTTACTTTTTTTATATGTGTCCGAAATTGAGACAGAATCTCCAAAATTTGTTGTTGCAGTAAAAAGTATATAATTTTTTCTACCAAATTCTTTTAAATATTTCAGAGCCTAAAAAATGTTTGAAAAATAATTAGATGCTAATGGCTCGTTAACTAGGAAAGCAATGAAAAAAAATGTGACATGGACATGATTAATATTTAATAATTAAATAATAATAAATAAGACATTTTGCATTATTTTCTTTATTAAACTTAAGTTTTGAAAAAAAATATTAATAAATATACATTGCAATAAAAAATTGCAACGACATGATGTTCTTTCCATATCGTAATTTATTTTTAAGTATTATTATAGAATTAATAAAATTAATTTTTTGTAACTGCTTCAAGATTCTGTACTTGAATTCTTATTACGAGAAAAATATATCTTATGATCTTTAATCTAACATAATTATATTATTTATTAAATTTTTTGGGAGATTTTAATTTATCCATGTGATCTGAAATAATATTTTTTGCAATAAGTTACATATTTACAGTTTTTACGATAATTTATGGTTTTTAGATAAGTAGCATTATTATTAAATTATGCAATAATCAATTAACATTCCAGATAGCCAAACTCGTAGAAACAGATTTTAAGAAGAGTATGTCAATTTGTCATAGCAGAAAGGCAATAAATTTCACACATACTCTATAATATCTGCCGACGATGTCGACAAATTGCAAAAATATGATAGAGTGCCGATATATTATGTCAGTAAATTGGCAGCAGAGATCGAGCAAAATTTGCCTTTACAGCTCCTGTTCGTTTCTGTTGCTAATCTATTGATGTGAACGGGTTCTAGCGACAGAACAGAATAAAGTCACAGTTATGTTAGTCTGCTAATATTTCTGACTAAATCTGTTGTTAGTCTATCGGCATTCTTTTTAGGTTTTTTTACTGGCACAAGATAAACGTCCCACTAACTGGACCTATGTCCGGACACTTGCATAAAATTTATTATTATTAATCTCAAATGCTTTTTTTTTATTGCTGTATTATAATTGAATTGCATTTAAAGATTACAATTAAATTGTAATATTACGTTTTAAAAAGCGTATTTGAGGTTAATATTAACTTAAATAAATAAAATGTCATGTAAATGTCCAATCACTGAGACCGGGCAATATCTATGTCTAAACAGTTACATAGAATTTTATTTATTTAAACTTAATAAAAAGAAAAGCATAAAATCATAACACAAGATATTCTCTTAGTGATTTAATATATTAATTACATTAATAAATAATTTAGACGTTTCGGACACAATCTGGCCATCTTCAGTAAAATTACAAATATCCATAACAGAACTTACATAAATCAACATTAAATTCAGCGCCAATTATCATATTGCAAACTATGTAGAACAAAAAATTCAATTTTTTGCAACCACGTTTTATGATGTACTCTTACAAGAGGAAAGAATGCATTTATATATATTTATATTTTTGACCGCTGAATTTAATGTTAGATTTATGTAAATATTTAATATAATTTTGTTTTTTATTATTTGTTTTTTATTATTTGGATATTTGTCATTTTGAACACTGAAGATGACCAGAAACGTCTAAATTATTTATTAATGTAATTATATATTAAATATCACAAAGAGAATATCTTGTGCTGTGATTTTATGCTCTTCTTTTTGTTAAGTTTTGATTTATAAACCACGTTTATTATAATTATATATTTTTATTTATTTAAATTAATATTTTAATCTCAAATATTTTTTATCTTAAAGAATTTGAATTATTGTCCTTTGTCATTAAACATCTTATATTTATATTAATATTTCAGCGTACTAATTTTTTAATTGTGGTCATATTAAAAACTTTTTTCTAATATAAATTGTATTATTTACAACTTAAAAAAAAACGCTTAAACGTCCGACTATTGAGACATTTAACTTAATAGTGATATTATTTCAATTTATATAATTGTGCTATAAGTTTGATAAATCGAATTGAAACACAATCTACAAAACTGATAATTATGGCTGTGTGTTCCAAAATTTACTGCCAGCGTTTAAAATACTTTACTTTATGTATATTTTCAGCACCGACATTGAATTTTAGAACAAAGCCGTATTTGCATATTTATATATGAATATTACTGAGCACCAAAACCCACTTTGACTGAAAATGTTTTCTTCTCTATTATATTTTACTTAATATTATTATAAAATTCTTATTTTAATCTATAATATTAAAAAAAATATAATTTTGATAACAATGTAAGCATTATGTATAGCTATCGTAAAATACTGTCTCTTGTTGAAATTTGCCATTTCCGGTAAATAATTTTTCATATATAAATATATGTAAATGTTACGGGTTATGGGTCGCATGGTGGGCAATGTTCGCATTGCCCAAGTTACCAACTTGTATAATGCAGCATTTCCTGCACTAAATTCTAGACATAAAATATACTTGAATTAAATTTGAAGTATATTAAAATCAAATATAATTATATTTGGATTACCAATTTTTGGGCCTTGGTAGAATTTTCACATAAAAATCTATTTTGTGCAGGATTGGGTAATGTTAAGTTAAAAAGATAAAAGTTAAGTTAAAAAGTTACAGAGTTAATTAATTTTAACTTAGCTACATTTTAGACTCTTAACTTTTTAATTTTATTTAGTTATATTTTTTATTCGTAACAATTAATTTTTTATTTAATTCTTTGAAGTTAAATTTCAGACATAATACGCGGCAATAGCTTAAAATGAAGTGAGGGTTGCAGAAGTGAGCAAATTTACTAAGTGTTGATCAATGATAATAAATATTTTAGTGAATTTTCTCATTTTTGTAATTTTCACCTCATTTCAAATTACACCTCCAAATTTCAATCTGTCAGAAATATATTTCGATGTATCTAGTTTTTGATAGGTTGAAATTTATTATTCCTTATTATTATCGCTACTCCCTCGTATTGTGTCTGAAACTTTAGTCATACAACAGACCAGTATTCATAGTCAAATTTTATATACTAAACAGTATATATAAAACATATAAATAAAATATAGAGTATTTTTTAAATAAAGTATAATATTTGTCATTTCCGTTATTTATAAGACTAAAACTCTAGAATCATAAATGAAAAAAATAAAAAAAATGAATTTAACTTTCAACTTTTCAATTACTTTTTTTTATGAACTTAATTTTTAATTTAATTAATTTTATTATAAATTAACTTGTATTTTTACTAACAATAAGTTAAATTTTCAAGGTTATCTTTAATTTAACTTAGTAAAAAAAAAAAATTAACTTTCCCAACTTTAATTTTGTATATCTGTAATTTCAGATAATTAAGAATTTATCCGGAATTTATGATTAAATTATATCTAATTTTTATTTGAAAATACATATTAATAGTTTAAACAAAGATTTCTATTTTTAATATATTTAATCTATTTAAAGCTCCTAACTAGTCACAACAGCCATATTGAAATCGTGACGTCGAAGCGAGGAATGACATGTTAATTTATGTTGCATGCCATTTTTAAATAAAGACAATTTGAATAAAACGAAATGACGAGATTGCTTTAAAATACTTGTAAAATCGATGAAAACTGTCCTTTCTTCCCTTGATAAATAGTTATAAAGTGAGTTTATATTTGGACAGAAACACACGATCTTACAACTATTGAAACGAATAAAATATACGCTTTTACATATAAAATTCCAAAGTAACTTTAATTTTAATAGATAATTACGATTTTGATAAGTACGAGACAAGTCACATTTTCACAATTAAGCAAATAATAACGAAATAGCAACATAAATTTCGTCGTCACTTTTTTACGCCTACAAGTTCAGCCATTTATCGATGCAGCGCTGTAACACACATACAAGTACATGTCCATATAGCTGCGTTCGACAATGCAAATCTGAGACGTCGGAGTGCTCTTTTTCTACAGTGCATATATGCTATAATATAAGAACACTACCACGCCTCAAATTTGCATTATCAAACGCAACTTATGTACGTGTTCTTGCCATCGGCACGCCGAGAGTGAAACAGCGAGCTCTTTTTCACACTAGTCATCACTTACTTCAAGCGATCGAAAATGTCTTCTCGGCAATCTTGACCGCTCGGCCCACGATATCGATAAAGGACGAGGATCATTCTAACATATAAATAACATAAATTTTAATAAATTGTAGTAATAGTGTACACCTTCCATTTATCTACATAGAATAGTGTAAATCAGGTTAAAACGCAACAATTTATGAGATATTTAATTATTTACGATTTTTCATGTGCATTATATACCTCCTTCATAAACTGGAGTAGCAAGAATAGTTCAGAGTCAGTAGAAGTAGAATTTTACCGGAAAAAAATTATAAACCAGCATTTCTCTTCACGAAAATCTTCGAAAGACCATTAGAAAAGAAATGCGTATGTTGAAACTCGAGACTTGTAAAGAAAATAGGCGAAAAAAAAATCGAATAGTTGCAAAAAGCACGTTTTTTCGCTTAAAAAACGAACGATATTGATTATATGGAAAAAAATGTAGGTATTTGAAATATCTACAAAATGAGACATGGAACATTAAAATCAATCTATTAGTTAAATAAAGAAAAAAATAAAAATCATCGGAAAAGATTTTTTTTCACTCGCTTTCTGTTCATTGAGATTTAAACGTAAAGCTTCAAAATTTTTGTAAAAGAAAATCTAGCCCTGAACAAATGTAGCAAAACAAATCTAGCCCTGAACGAGCCTGAAATATTCATTAGTTTTTGCAAAAAGCTCATTTGCTCATTAAAAATCTGCCTGCAGAAAACTTAATTACTTACATCTTTGAGCAGTCGCACAGTAATTTACAGGAGTGATTTTTCTTCTTCAAGAATTGCACTATCACGTACATTTAGTAACAAAATGATTTTTTGCAGTTAAACTATTATAAAATGATTTTGAAAAGTGGGTATCTTTTTTTCGTATAAAAAAATAGAATAATTTTGCTAATATGCAGCAGTGCAGTGTATTAATTCGCTGGGTCATAATAACGGCCCGACTTATCGAAAGTAAGAAAATATAGTACTAAAAAGTTGATAAAAAATTCTGAAAAATTTTTTAGAGTTCTATGAGAAGAAAATCAATGATTTTTGTCTCATGCAGTTTTTCTGTAAAGTTGATAGTATTTAAATATTAGGTGTTGGAATTAATTCGTAGCGTTTTTAATGAAAGAATGTTATTTATTTCACATGAGCATTAAAAAATACATTAATGAAAGTACTTCCCATCACTTGTAAAACGCTACGAATTAATTCCAACACCTAATAAAAAATAAACGTCGATAAGTCGAGCCGCTACTATGATCCAGCGAATTAATGCACTGCACTGTTGCACATTAGCAGAATTATTCTATTTTTTTATACGAAAAAAAAGATACCCACTTTTTAAAATCATTTTATAATAGTTTAACTATAAAAAATCATACAGTGTACAATCCCATTTGTTCCATAGTTAATTTGAATATATCAGTATTTCTAATCAAAAATATAATTAGAATATATCTGGAAATTCAAATGATTTTGGAATATATTCGCTTTTACAGACAACAGTTACAGTTTGGCCAAATGTGAATTTCAAGGTATACGCAGGTAGCAAGCTACGTCATTTTGACATTAGTTTGCTACTAGGGTTAATTTATATAGCTATCCACTGCACAAAACCACATTTGACCAAATATGTGTCAACTCTTATTGGAACTTATTTGGGATTTAGTGCAGGATTGTCAACTTGCGGACTTGCGTAGTATATAGTATAAACATAAGTAAACATATATTAACAGTCATAAAAATTTATTATAATATTTTATCATTCGTGTTATTTTATTATTAGATTATGAATGTGGACAACATAATCAATTTTTAATGATGAAAAACAAGAAATCTTAACATTAACAGTTATGACAATAACAGAAAAAATAATCTTTAGCATTATATGTAATACTTTTTGCCGATTATATTTCAATCATAGCAATTATCATATAGTGTTGCGATTATAGCAATGTCGATCTTTTATCTGATAAATATACCTGTTTATAAAATATATCTGTTTTAAAATGCGTAATTCTTTTGCATATATTTACTTTAAATTATCGTTTTTAGTGCAAGAGATATAACGTAAAGGCATTTTTTTTATTGTGCAAATGCTATTTATGCAGTTGAACCATTTATAAAACGTACTAGTACCTCAGTCTGTCATACAGCGTTGCAAGCATCGTATGTCACCGAAGATATCAAATAGCACGTACAGTAAGTAATGCAGAAATACGAATTAATCCATTCCTTTTCGGATTTGGAAATATCGGATTTTTGAATTAATGCAAGAGACTCAATTAGCAATTCAGAAAAGAATATATATTATAAAGAAAGATAATAAAAAAGTACTAATAAAAAATGCCAAATGTATAATAAACATCCATGAGTGTATACAAGTTTATATAAAAATAGTAATCAATTTTAAAAGATAGAAAAAAATAAAGTTATGATTTGACACTAACTTTTAAATTTATAGAAATATATCATCGTTCTGTTTTGTTTTGTCTATAAAACTTTAAAAAAATATAACTTGATTACAAGTGTATAAGCATTGTATAATTGTATGCTGGTTCTTATGAGACTCGTCAAATCCTTAATTCATTTAAGATATTTAATAAATAGTGATATACAACGAATTTAAAAAAAAAATAAAAAACATTATTAAAGAAGTAAGAAAAATTTTTTAAACTTTTTTTTAAATTAATTGTTTAAAAAAAAAAATTTTAAATTATTTTATAATATTGTATTTATCAAATCTGTTAATAAGATGTTATATAATTGTTATTAATATAGCTATACTAATATAGCTATATTAGTATAGCTATATTATTACTAATATATCCATTATTATCAAATTATAGAATAGCTATACTAATATATTCGTTATTATCAAATTATAGAATATACGATATACTATTAATTAATAGTACTTGATATATTTTTTCGTATCTTTCTTTATATACATATAATTATTATAAATTATTTTTTATATACATATAGTTCTTTATATACGTACAATTATAAAAAATTCTATTAATGTAACTGCCTTTTATGATTATGTGATATCGTTATATATGTAATTAGAAAATAATTTTACAAGTTTATTTTTAGATTCAAATATTTTCCCAGTATAAATAATATAAACATATATGCTAGATAAATATTTGACAAAAGTATTAATATTTGACTCTTTTCCTTTTAAAATAAAATTCTACTTACGAACAATATTTTACAATTAGCTATTTCTATAACAATAATTGTTCAACCGGTAATTGCTTTATAGATAATTGCTAAAATAATTAATTCTTCGAGGTTATCAGTTATACTATAAGTAAGGACAAATCATCATTTGTGCAGTTTGAAGAGGTAGAATATATAGATATTTAAAAATAGATATTAAAAAATTACAAATAGAATGTATACTTAAAAAATTAAAAATATTGAAGTATACAATTTATTTTTGATACTGCGTTCTACTAAACATTACAGTATGCTATTCTTTATCTTGTATGAACGACAAATTTAATTTTTAATTATTTATATCAAAAAAGAATAATTTCGAAGATGATATATTTAAAAAAAACAATAAAAAGGATTAAATAAATAGAGTGACACGAATCGCTTACCCAATAATTATCTTCCTATTATTAAAAGTATATCCTTTCCGACACAACCAATACTTTAACACTTAGTTACCATCAACCTTCACATTTTCTTTTTAACGATGGTAAAATACAGACAACTAAATATTTTAATATCAGAATGATCTTTCCATCATACAAATTAAGTTAATTGTTACATAAAAAAGTGATGTATGTTTTTCGACAATTATACAGGTACAAATACATAATTTAAGTTAAGATTATTTAATTAATTTGCATATATTATAGTTATTTATTAATCGTGTATATTAGGAATTGGAATTGACAAGCAATTTAATAATTTGATGCTACCATCAAGTATCATATTATAAAGATGTTAATATGTTGAAACTGTTAATAAATTTATTGCGAAAAATATTACTTCGGCCGGAAGTCGAACCCGGATCTCTTGTTTTCCGTGCGAGTGTTCTAAGCTTTTAGACTACCGAGACCTTAGTAATATTCTTCGCAATAATTAGCATATAAAGAAACAACGTCTCTTTAGATGACGTAAATAAACATTATTATATATTATTATCAAATAAACATTATTATATATTATTATCAAATCGATGTTTTAACACAACGTTTTTCATATTGACATCCAGTGCAAGCTTATGTGCTCCTTATTAATTATATTATTTTAATTATTGATTTGAAAAAAAATGACAATTATTTGTTATAATTATTTGTTAATAGCGTGAAGCAGATTTTTTGAATTTTCAATCGGATAATTCAAAAACAAAAATGGTGCCAAATATTTTAAGTACAGATTCAAAAACACTCACGGAGAAAGATTTACAAAATGAGGAATCTTCGATTACTACAAAGACGATAGATGAAAATAACGAGCAAAACAGAAGCGAGAATTATACAAGAAGTGAAGGCAAGTTCAAGTGGGAGCTGAAATGGATGAACATCCTGTATATTAGTTTTCTCCACTTATGCTTCGTATATGCCTGTTTTACTTTTAACTTTTTCGAAAATCTGATGACGACTGCTTGGAGTAAGTATTCTTTGGAAAATTCTTTTAATAATTTGATTCCTTGATATTATAAAAAAACTACATAATAAAAAAAAGCAAAATTTATATTATCAACGAATTAATCATTAAAATTGTAATGCATGTTTATAAAAAATGCCACAGTCGTTTTTCTGACAGCAGATTTAAAGACAATTGATTAGATTGACTCACGCGATTGGAGAGAGCACGCAATAGAAGCTTAACAATAAACCAGCAAACTACTGTTAAAAATTTCTCATTTCTATTATACCATATTGATCATAAATCATCTTGAATTGTCAAATTAGTAAAATCCATGCTATTTACATGGTGCTCTTGAGAAATACGGATTATTATTCACAATTTTAAAGCATTTCTAGTGTTCTTATTGCGTTCGACCTTTTTTGTTTCAAGTATATGGCATGATAATAATAGGAGGCTTTGGCGTCACCGGCGGTGTTCATCGTTTTTGGACCCATCGATCTTATAAAGCAAAATGGCAGCTTAGAATTATACTTGCCGTCTGCTTTGCTGCTGCTAACATGGTAAATAAACGTTTATAATTACCGTTTTATACGTTGCAAGACGGAAGAATTTTTCTTTACAATTTTCTTTTAGAATAACATATTCGAATGGGTGCGAGATCATCGGGTGCATCACAAATATACTGATACGGATGCGGATCCGCATAACAGTAACCGAGGATTCTTTTTTTCCCATGTGGGTTGGTTGATGATGAAGAAACATCCGGATGTGATCCGAAAGGGTTATGAGATCGACATGAGCGATGTATTGGCTGATCCTATTGCTGTATTTGCTATCAAGTAAATTTGTGCAGGAAATTATATAAGTTATACGAAATAGTTTTATATTGAAAAAGACAAAAGAACATAAGAAGAAAGAAAGATATTACGAAAATGTTTTTGCCGTGTCCTCGGAAAATGTGTATTTATAATTATGATAATTTTATGTAATTTTACATAATTTTATGTTAACCTTCTCAACTTTCCCAAACATAGGACATTTATGAAATTATATAACCAAATCTTGTACAAAATTTGTAATTTGCATTTATAGGAGTATATTTTCAAAAATAGGTGTAGAAATTCTAATATCTTTTAAAATATTGACAACTTTTGTGCTAGATTTTGTCATATATTTTCATAAATGTTGTTTTATAAGAATTTGATTCATTTTGAAAGCATATATTTAGTATTCCGATATTTTTTGCAGCCTCTCATGGTGAAAATTTTTCTCATAATTTTTATACAAATTGGAACATTTTTCAGAAATACTAAGAAAGTTTACATTTTCTCTCAGAATTTTTCACAAATGAATTCTAAAATATTCTGAAATTTCTCATCCCATAATTAAAAAAAAATATTTTTTAATTTTTTAAATTTTATAACATTTCATCAGAAATTATACTTACAAAAAATTTTAGAAATCTCTTACAATATTTCATAATTAACATACATGGAAATTCTGAGAAAAGATGTAGATTTTTTGAGAAGTGTTTCAATTCGTATAAAAAATGTAAGAAAGTTATAAAATTATATAGAAATTATGAAAAATTATATAATATGAAAAATTATATGAGAAATTTTCACCAGAATCTTTTAGAAAATTATTTATATAAATTTTTTTACGTAAGATGTAAAACTGTGATAAATACACACCGTAATTAATTAATGCTATTTTTCAGATATTCTATGATATTAAAATTTATATTCGCTTTCCTGCTTCCGGTGATGTTGCCTGTGTATGCATGGAATGAGACTTGGTATAGAGCTTTCGTGTCACAGATTTTTATTCGTTCTATTTTGACTTTAAATTTCACATGGAGCGTCAACAGTGTGGCTCATATCTGGGGCTCAAGACCATTTGATGCGTAAGCAAATAATTAATATCAAAATTATTATATTCACATATAATCAATTTGATCCAAAAAAATCTTTTATCATTTTGTATCGCCTAAGAATAATTTTGTTCCATTTATTTTAATGACAGGCATATAAATCCAACAGAAAACCTATTCGTTAACTGTGCTACGGTAGGTGAAGGATCGCATAATTATCATCATGTTTTCCCGTGGGACTATAAGGGTGCCGAGTATAACAGTTTCCTAACCACAAAGCTCATTAATTTCTTTGCGAAAATCGGCTGGGCATACGATCTCAAAGAACCGTCGAAAAAGCTTATAAAAATCGTTACGATGAATAGAGGTGATGGAAGTCATTCTTTGTGGGAAGCTGTGCCATATTCAGCTAATAAAATTGAATAATAAAAATAACAATTGTCTCATGATAGCGAGCTTTTTGGATCAGTTAACAACAAATGTACGCGATCAAGAATTTACTTACTTAAGATAATTTATTAAGTTAATAATGTTGTTATAATATTATAATATAATAATGTTAAAATATAAACTTGGTTTTTAGATTTCCCAATAGCACATGTTGGTTTTATGTATGTTTCCTAAACGCTTGTAAAACATATGTTCAGGAGAGAGAGAGAAACGTCTATAAAATGTATATGAACCAATAAGTGCTACTTGGGTTTAATATTTCAGTAGAAGTAAAGATATTGTATATATATATATATATATATATATATATATGTATGTATAATTTACAAAAATCCGCGATTAAGTTTATTACGAACTGTTTTATTGTTATTTTACTTAAAGCGTGGAAAATTACAGAGAAGATTACTTGGGAAGAGATGTCAAGTAGTAACCAAATAAAATTAATAGAATTTTTATAAGAGAGTGTTAACTTTTCTTATTTGTTAAAAACACGTTTACGGAACACAACTTTGTTACGTAGTTGAATTTGGCGTGAAATACCTGACGTCTAGGCGCCAAGAAAATACTTTACTTCAGATAGGTAGCAGGTCAAGTCTCATTTCAAAATAAGAATTTAGAGATATAGAGTCTTAAATCTTTTTCAGGATTAAATTGTTCTTAATGATTACGCCGTTATAAGTGCTTGTAAAATCATAAAACTTGTTTTACGTCTGAAAAATTAATGTTGTTTCTATACATATTGATTATTGCGAAGAATATTATTAAGGTCTCGACCTAATCTAAAGACTTAGGACGCTCACATGGAATGTTAGAGGTCTTGGCCGAGATAATATTTTTCGCAATAAATAAATTTATTTACAGATTTCCAATATACTAAGATCTTCTTAACAGATGCCTATTAAGCAACAAAATTTAATTGTGATATCAGTAGTTTAGCTGCGTGTTTAAGTTCGAAAAAATTAATTCGCCGCGCAGTTCAAATGACTAGAAAATAGTATATGCGTGTACATATGTTCAGTATACATAAATTCACATTAAATTATTTAAACATTAAAGATCCAGCTTTGACTGTTATGGACTTTTATTTTTTATTTTCTATTGGTTGTGTTTTGGACATATACGATAAAGATTCTTATTATTTATAAAACATTTCTATTCAAAATATTTTTTTATATTTTTTATTACTTCGGAGATATTTGCGTAGACATAAACATCGTTTTTTTTTTCAAGGAAGTTCCAGAATCAGCGTAATGTCAAAACTTGAATGGAGTGTTCGTATCTTATCGATCAATTTTCTCGCGAAAGCGATTCAAGGATATCTCAGCGTGTAAAAGTGGAACTCAACATTTACGTCCGTCGGTTCTGCCGGTGGCGCATGCGAAATTGCGAGAGACCGTATCGTAATATTGCGCATTAGCTATCTCTATCGGTCTTGCGAATTAGGACAATCCTCGCCCTTTGTCTGACTGCGCGACTGCGCGAGTGACCGAATGTATGCTTTCACGCACTTCCCTTAGGAGGAAGACCCGACTTGGAGATATCTTGCTATAACGATGATCGATTTGTACTTGGAGTCCCGGGAGCGTAAGTTATTCTCAGCGAACACGGCTTTTTTCATTTTCAACGTTTGTGTATGTATCGCGTACTTTGCTCCATAACGAAAAAATGCGAAGTGGTCTCTCTTCATAATCCGTGAAACCACGACAGCTTTAATTCGATGTAGACTCTCAACAGTGAACTCTCCAATATCGACATTGCACCGAGGGTGAGTGCCTCGTGCATCCGCGAACGTAATTTGGTCGCTGCGGATCGAACTGTATTATTTTCGCGTTAAGATTTTCATCGTACCTGGAGGCAATACTGGTTCTGAGGAAGGTCTTTGTTGGTCGCAATAATTCGCAGCATTTATGATCAAACCGAAGATTTTTGCTCGCATTCTGATTCGAGATCTCAGTCGCTCGGCTGTCCGCCGTTTTGAAGTGTAATGCAGATTCCGTATTGTTAAAAAAAAAAAAAAGGAAACTGTGAAAGTGATTTCTCAAGCCTGACTCTTATCGCTGCTCTTCCCTCTATTTCCCATTCTTTCTATAAAAACGCGAATCAGTTCTCGCGGAACAACCGATTCGCAACAAAAGTGTTTTCACCCCTAAAATCGAATATAAACAGTTTAAAAAGAACAGTTTTAAAAGAATTGTAATTAGGTCCATCTATTCTAAACTTATGCAAAGTTTCAAATTCTTTTTTATTTTACATTTACCGATTTTCCTTGTGGGTAAACAGACCTGTGTAATTTATAGTATTTATATTTCTCGCTGCATCACAGCTGACGCTCATAAATCTCATCGATCATACAAAGCAAAGTAGCTTATGAGATTTATCCTCACAATTTTCCAGTTGTTTTGTTCCAGTTCAATTTTTTGCTGCTTTTTAATTTTGGCGTTAACTTTTTTTCTCTTGCTAAAGTATCGTATAAGATGACATGTCTAAATAGACTAGGAAAGTTTTACTTTTTACGAAGTTCCACATTTTTATTTTTCAAAATTTAAAATTCTTAGTGCATTACATTTTTTAAAATATACATTTTTTATAATATTTACAAACGAGTAAGGAAATATTGAGTGACGCACAAATTGACTCGAATTCGTATACACAAAGGATTCTTATTTCGCATATCGATTAACTTCTGGTTCATAAGCCTCTCGATGTCGCGGTCAGAGGTCAGAGGTACTACAGATGCGTGATTGCAGTAATCGGGACATAGATGCATTCGTGGTATTTCAAAGTGTGACAAAAATAACTTATCGCGGGAATAAGATCTAGCTAATTATATATGTGTAATAATTTAAAGATTCTTTATTTTAGATCGCATATGAGAAACACAATCAATACTAGAAATTTAAAATGCCTACAAGCTAAGACGCTCGTACGAAATGCAAGAGATCCGGGTTCAAGTCCCGGCCGAGGTAATATTTCTCGCAATAATTTTATTAACAGTCTCAACATATTAACATTTTTATAATATGATGCCTGATGAGTATCAAATTATTAAAATTGCTTGCCAATTTATTTCGCGATTACTAGAGTAGTTTTAATAATTGCATTTCCGGAAAAACAATTCGGCGCGCAATTTGAAAAGATATGGTATATATGCAAATACACATACAGTGTATATTAGTAATTCAAGATTGAATTATTTAAAGCAATGAAGATTCAGCTTTGACCGTAATAGGCATATTAAATTTCTAGTATTAATTATAATAATTTAATTGCTACTAAACCATACAGTACAACATCAAATAATGTAACAATTTGTTTCGATATATATGCATATTGTGAAATCTGAAATCTGTTATCAATCGAAAATAGCGTTAACCTTCCTGAAAATTAATAAATTTAAGTAATAAATTTAATAAATTTAATAAATTTAAAGTAGTAAGTTAATAAGTTTAAAATAAATCTGTTCGAGTAGTTTGAAGAGAAAAGAAAAAATAGAAATAGAGCGAAGAGAGGAGAGTGAAATGGGGTTGCGATTTTTGAGAATTGGAAAAATTACTAATTGCTTCCAGGAGGTTGGAAAAGTGTTGCAAGATAAGAAGTGATTAAAAATATGAAGGAGAGATAATCAAAATATTGTGAATAAGAGGATTATATATCTTGAAGATTTGTGCAGATCGGCGGAAGTGAGTTTTGTGCGCTTAAAGATATTAAACATCGATAGCTGTGATAAGAGCAAAGGTAAAGATTTTTGAAATGTTATGGTTAGAACGATGGTTAGAAAGATGGTAGGAACAGGATGACATAAAAGTAGAAGAACTTGGAAAAGAGTCAATGAAGCGTTTGTTGAGAAGATATGGGTTGAACAGATGAATTGAGAAAATGGGTAGGTACGACGGGAGAAGATGACACCGAGAAGACGGTGAGATTCAGTGTGGAGAGAGATTTAATAGAAAGACCTATTTTCATGATGAATAATGGAAGTGTGCAGTTATGAAGCTCTCTATAACGCAGTCAGTCATAAAGTCTTGACAAGCATGCTTGAATTTATCAAAAGCGCGAAACTCCTACTCTATAAACTTTTTAACTGTCGCATTTAGCAACGGTGTAAACCATCTGGTTACACAATCGAAGAGATCGAAGTAAAATAATACGATATAGAATGAGTAGAAAAAAAGTGTCGCTAATTCATGTGCCTAATGTTGATTTGTTTCGACATTTAGACAAGTTTCCGGGCAGAAATGGAATTTTATCATTATGATGTCATAATACAATTTTTCGATATTTGTTTTTTGATATTAAAAAAACAGTAAACTGTGCTTGGCTGTTGCTGGAGTTCTATACATATTTTTTAGGAAATCCTAAAGACGATTAATCATTGAAAATAGCGCTTATACACAAACGATTTACGAGTCATTGACACATCATTATATCAATATCTCACTCACGCATGTCACATATGCACATAAATTTTTGTATAACAATTACATTTTAATTAGACATCTTTTTAAGTCTTTTAATAGACGTCCAATTTTAGAAATTCCATACTGTTTCTTTATACAAACTACTAGTCTGTGGACTATTATTTCGTAAGTACAGATTGCACAGCTATTATATAAAGCGAATGTCACGATGTGACAGCTCTGGAGCGTCATATTGGGCTAAGAAATGGTAAAAAAGATCTCAATTTCAAAATTTTGTCATTCTTCAGCAGTGACTCCACCTCACAGACATGTACAGGGTCCGGCAAAATGATCTCCCACATTTTGCACCGCCACTGATTAAAATGTGGGAGATCATTTTGCCGGACCCTGTATTAGTGTGTGTATTTTAATCCTAAAAAAGGATTTTTAAACAAGTAAGAGAGGAAAAAAGTAATTGTTATACAAAAATTACATGGTTTAGTCGGTAAGACAGACGATTTTAGCATTCCCTTAACAGATTTAGGGTATTTAAATAAAATATATCATTTAAATTGATTAGAAGATAGTAAATTCTCATTGATTTTTTAGTCACTCTGCTATCATATTTTATTATCAGATATTTTTGTTGGTATTTTTCCGACAACGTTTACAACAAATACTTTACAAAATTGACAGATTTGATTATCTAGGTGTGTAGAGTAAAGTTATCGAAATCGCACCAACTCCTAAATCGCACTGCTGCGCTTAAAAATTCCATTACTGTTATTTACATACTTTCTTACTATTATTTAAAAATTACATGATACTGCAACGCTATACTCCGTTATACTGCTCGTGACATGAAGCGCGATAGGAATATATTCCCAGATTACCTAAATAGAACAACAAATCATTATGATAACAAAATGATCATTAAAAGTTATTATTTAATCATTTCCAATTTATTTTAATTCATTTTGACGTTATCATGATTTGTTGCTCTGCTTGGATAACCAAGCGTGATTTAGCTAATTAGTATATTAGACAAACTATAATGTATTGCACGAGTTGTTATGAAGTTGTCATCAATTTGCTAACATCGGAATCTTATGTGCATTAACTGAATTAGAAACATGAGTTAGAAACATGAGTTAGAAACAAGTAGTAAGACATCATCAGTTTATGAAATTTCAAGAATAAACATTGAGAATTAATAATTAGAAACATGAGTTAGAAACATAAGTTAGAAACAAGTAGTAAGACATCATCAGTTTATGAAATTTCAAGAATAAACATTGAGAATTAATAACATCTCATGTTGATAGCAAAATAATGGCACGCGATGAGCTCACATATTTCATATAGTATATTTTATATAGTATATTGTGTCAACATAATGACAAATTGATATACATATATTGATACACATATATTGATACACATATATTTTATATACTATCAAGATGTTACCAATTGATATCATCAAATTTTATGTGAAGACAACATTTTACGCATAATAAGGAAGAATCTTGTCCTTAATCAACATCTACTGCAACATAACGGTGTTTTGAATTCATTTTGCTATCTGAGTTGTTATTTACATAAATAAAAAAATCTTAAGAGTGTTGCTATTTTTCAACGTATTTCATAACAGAATTATAGAAAATATAAGTTAACTAGCTTAAGTCTTAATCATTTGTCATGATTAAAATATTATTAAAATTAAATTAATTAGATTAAAATTTGCTTTACATTTTTGTTTATAAATTATATAAGTAAAAATTTAAAAAATGTTTCCTAAACCAGTTTTCTAAAGCACACCACAATCTAATCTTCTAAATTGCACGTTACATAATATTATTATTTTTACATTTCTTAATTTTATTTCATTTATTCCATTTATTATTATGTATTAAAAATGTATACTGTAAACCTTCGAAATGTTTATTTTGTTTCACACAGAAACTTCTTAAATTACTTCTTGAAATTATCATGTTTCAGAAATTATATATATTCTTAAGTTTTTAAAAGTATATAAATATATTAAGATACAATTTGTTGCTTTTCTTATATAATTTAAAAATTTTTTTTTAAATTCTCATTTTAAATGTTATAATAGCGCAAACAAATTACAAAGAAATTATGAAAAAGAAAAAAATGCAGTTTATTATGCTGTAAAAAACTTAAGAATATTCTTCATAATTTTTGCATTATGAGACTTTACGTGAAAAGTGCGATTTCGGCAATCTTAATCTATATATATATATATATGGCAATTTTGAGTTTTACCTCATTTCTCAAGAAACTTTTTATACAAATATTAAGCATATACATATGTAATGATTATAATTATACAATTTTTTTTAACTAATTATAAATAATTATTTAAAATATAAGACATTACTTTTATAATAATTTTTAAATACACTGAAAAATTTAATACAAAATTAATATAATTATCTGTGCATTAATACATTTTTTGTTAAAAATTATATTATTTTCATTGTAAAACTTATGTATTTATAAAAATAAAAACCTTTTATTAGATTATAATATAATCTTTCTAGTAAATTGTTTATTATTGTCTATAATCTTTTTAATATAAGTCAAATATATATCAATAACGGAGCATAAAGGCTGTATAAGGTAACAATGCAATTATATATTAAATCACTTTGCATGTGTACATCAATAGACGTTTCAATTATGTATCTGGTCATCTTCAATATCAAAATTAATAATACAAATTGTTATATCATTATCATATGTCTATCTAGAAAGTGTTTTTCTTTGTTGATATCTATAGTTTTAGCTTTATTTTTCTTTGCCTCTTTAATTTCCATTGTTTAATGTAAACATTTATTGTTTAATGCAAACATTTATTGTTTAATTTTTGAAATCATCCCTAACATCTCAGATCCGCACAGAAGTCTCAATTTCTATAATATTGTCACGATACATAAATCTATATTGTATAAACAATAAGTATAATAACTTTCGAATTTGCAATACAAAAATCCTAATAACAACTGGTAATCGAACAAAAGAAAGTAGATGTATAATTAATTAAAAAATTATTAAATATATATCAAATTTTTTAGTTAATTATACATCTATTTTTTAAAATATATATCAAATTTTTAAATTAATTATACATCTATTTTTTTGCTCGATTATCGATTGTTATTAGGATTTCTATATTTTATGTTAGTCGTTCTTTAACAAACACAAGTAAGAGATAAAAATTTAAATTTTAAAATAGATAAAAAACTTCAAAAGTAAATTAAAATTTATAATTAATAAGATTGTTAAGAAAAATTATTTTAATAATATCTGGGAGTTAACGAAAATATCAAAGGATATATTATAAAGTTTCGTATATTAAAACCCTGACAGGATTTCATAAAGACATTTATCGGCAATATGATAATTAAAGAAAACATAAACGTAATAGTAAAGTAAGGTAAGGAATTGGGATGAGTGGAAAGGAGAGAATTAGTTAAAGAGGGAGTAGCTGACAAAGGAAGAAAAAATATATGTCTGGTAGCTTCTAAGTATCGTCCCAACTAAAACTGTGGTTCGTTTCCAATCTATTACTCGAAATTACTGACAGAGCACCTGAGAATTTATTATACACATTAATATATCCTCGGGTGCCTTGTCAGTAATTTCGAGTCATAGATTAAAAACGAATCACAGTTTTGATTGAGATGATGTGAGTATTTTGGATATGGAACCTTTTTATTATAGAAGATTGATTTCGGAAATGATTTTTACAAAAAGACATAAAAGACTGATTTAAACAAAGCGATATTGAGAGGTTGCCAGATATATATTTTTCCTTCCTTTGTCAACTTCTCTCCCTTCAATTAATTCCCTCCTTTCCACTCACTAGTTCCTTACTTTACTTGGATTACATTATGCTTATGTTTTTTCTATTTGTCACATTGCCGACAAATGTCTTCATGAGATCCTGTCAGGGTTTTAATATACAAAACTTTATAATATATTCTTTGGCGTTTTCGTTGACTTACAGGTATAAAAATTATTAAAATAATTTTTCTTAACAATCTTATTAATTATAAATTTTAATTTACTTTTGTAGTTTTTTATCGATTTTAAAATTCAATTTTTTATCTCTTACTTTCATTTTTTGTGTTTGTTATATTTAAAGAACGATTAACATAGAATATAGAAATGGGTGCATTTCGTTTCACGCATGATGCATCATTTATCCTTGTTGTTCATCAAACATTAAATAAGGATAAATGATGCATTATGCACATCATGCGTGAAACGGAATGTACCTCTAATGACGACCGGTAATCGAATAAAAAAAAAGATATATAATTAACTAAAAAATTTGATATATATTTAATAATTTTTTAGTTAATTATATATCTACTTTCTTTTACTCTATTACCGGTCGTTATTAGGATTTTTGTATTGCTGTGCAAACATTCGAAAGTTATTATACTTTATACAATATAAAGTTATACATCATGACAATATTATAGAAACTGGGAGGATCTGAGATATTAGTGATGACTCAAAAATTAAACAATAAATGTTTGCATTAAACGAAGTAGTATTAAAAGAACAAAGAAAAATAAAGTTTAAATTAAGTTGTCGACAAAAAATCCTTTCTAGATAGACAGATAATAATAAGATATAACAATTTGTATTAAATTTTTTAATTGTAGACAATTAGTAATGACGTAACGTATATTGTAAGTACGAGTAGCATTGAATATCTATTTAATTTTTATACTGAAAATGATACGTAGTCCAAACGTCATCGATGTAAACATATAAAGATTTAATTTTTATACATAATTGTATTATTATCTTGCGAAGGTTTTTGTGCTCCTTTATCAATTTATTTTGACTTCGTTTTGAAAGCCGTTATTTAAAGATAAGTCATATAATTTTGGACATTTAAACAAAACGATGAAGCATTTATTATTTAATACGAAAATTTTATTTTAACTTATTAATTTATTATATTATCTTATATTATTTTCATATTTTAAAATTATCGCTATGTATTTTTCAGATAATTGGGGACACTCTTTTTATCTACTCTAACACAATATATCGCTAATAGCGCTTCACGAGCACAGTCTGTATCTATCGATGTGACTTCAAGTACAATATAATTATACTTTATACGTAAATAGTTATTGCTATCAGTATGCACGACACAATACCAAACAATTCTCATGATGACACGTGTGATATTAAGTGCAAAGAAGAAATTATTACGAAAAGAGAAATACGAAAAACGGATATTGTGTGGTTTACGGTCTTTTATTTATTGATGATGCACACCATTGGACTTTACGGTTTAATCACGTTCAACTACTTTGAAAATTTAAGGACAACTTTGTGGTGTAAGTTTGTGTAAAAAATATTTAAAAATTTAAATTTTATATTGTAATTTTTTGTTGTAAAATAATTATTTAACAAGAGTAGAGCAAGACTTTTCTTGCAATAAATGTTTCTAAATAAAATACATTGAACAGTTGAATGCATGTGCTTTGAAAAAATAATATAATATATCATGATTGTGTAATGTAATTTAAAATACGTTAAAAAGATATATTTCCTGCCAAAAGTCATATAATATTAAAGTTAAAACTGGCGAAATAGCCATGCTTGACTTTATAATTATCAGCTATAATTATTATAATTAATGTTATATTACATATAAACTAACATTTTTTTTTATATTTTCAGTACTAATTTTGTATAACCTAGGATGCATCGGTGTGACTGCTGGTGCTCATAGATTTTGGTCTCATCGATCGTACAGCGCTAATCTACCGCTCAGGCTCATCCTTTTCGTTTGTTACTGTTCGAGTGGAGGGGTAATAATCAAAAGAGCTTATTTATTATGTAAACCGAAATACAATTTATTACGAAAATCTAATTTAATAACATTTTCAATGTGCATTCCAAATTAAAGTCAATTCAATTGTTATGCATACAAAGCGCATTTTTTATTCGAATACTGAGTCAAAGATGTTACATAATAACCGGAAAATTCATGCAGTTTTAATTTAGGTATCTATTTATAAGATTGACTATTTTCTAAAGACACATCCCGGCTTTATCGATTAGACGATTGGCTTCAATGAGGACAGGCTTTAATGCTACATTTCTTTATATATATAGGTCTCTATTTTTAGTTGGGTACGGATTCATCGTGTACATCACAAATACGTCGACACAGATTTAGATCCTCACAATAGCCGACGCGGCTTTTTCTTTTGCCACATAGGTTGGATTCTAAGAAGACTCAGGCCTGAAATTATTCAAAAATTACGTGAGACTGATATGCGGGACATTTTGGCAGACCCACTCATTGCTTTTCATAAAAAGTTAATTGAATATTTACATATAATTCACATTACATATTTATTTATATTCTATCGGCGTAATTTTCCAACACAATAAATATTAATGCAGTTAATTTTTTGTTAGCAGATATGTTACTTTGGTGAACTTGATATTCTCTTATGTCTTGCCCACGCTAATACCGGTTTACTTCTGGGGTGAGACTTGGAACAGATCCTTCATTTCACAAGTAGCTCGAGTGATGCTGGTGTTACATGCAAGTTTTTCCATAAACAGTTTTGCTCACATGTGGGGTACCAAGCCATACAATAAGTGAGTTCTTTCGGATGGATTTACGATAATATTATTAATATTCAATATCGCTTATACATATTTAATGCACAAGATTTTTCCGACAGATTATTAAGTGTAAAATCAATTATTGTTTCGCGAGGATTTTTCAAAGAAATATTGAGAATCGTAAAATATTTTTTAATTGATCCGAACACAATATTTAATAGATAAAATCTATTCCCATTTATTATCAATTTTGTTCTAATTTCTAGAAATATTCGGCCAACAGAGAATATGAGCGTGAGTGTAGTTTGTAGTGGTGAAGGATTTCATAATTATCATCACACATTTCCTTGGGACTATCGTGCAGCCGAGTTTAATTGGTATATTTTCAATCACTCGTCGTTTTTCATCGACATGTTCGCGAAGATCGGATGGGCCTACAATCTCAAGAAACCGTCTCCTGAACTTGTGAAACGAGTTGCTGCCGATAAAGGCGATGGCTCCCGTGCCAAATGGGATGAAATCCCAATGTGCGATTCAAGTGCCAAAGATTAAAATGCAACACACATACAGGTAGAATAAATTTAATTCATTAAATTACACTCTTACTTCATCGTTAGCAAAAATTTGTTTACAGCTTCACACTTATGAGATTAGTGAAAAAATATGTAAAAACATATGAAGCATAAACTAGAAAAAACGATGTGATTTGCAAAACATATAAATAATAAATTAAAATACTATACAAAATATTAACAATCATAATGAGAAGTGTAAGCTTCTTAAAAAATTAGCTTTTCAAAAAATTATAAATAATTAAAACGAGTTAAAAACAATATTACTGTTAAATTGAATTCTAATAATAAATTGTATTTTAATTTATAACAAGCTTTTAGATAATAATTGATGTATCTGTTAAAGTCGTATTGGAATTTAAAGCATTCTTACAAAAGTAAATATATAATATCGAAAATTCCTATAAGTAATAACTGTTACATATTTTTAAAGATTTTATTGCAATCAAGATTATTATTTGCAAAATATTTTGCAAACAATTGTAAGATTAACAAAATGTGTTAAAAATTATATAAATATTTGCAATGTGTTAAAACTGTAAGAATTTAATGTTCAAGTTTGTTATAAGCGTCCTGCGACGACACTCAGCGGCGATAATTACGATTTTATCGATCCTAGTACAAATAAGTCGAACACATACGGCGCTCACTATTACTCCAATTTCCACTGGAATAAAATCGGAGCATTGTTTTGCCATGGCATTTCATGTGTTTCCTCACCGTGAACAGATAATTATTGGCGATGTAAGACCGTCGATTATATTCAATTTTTAGATTTTGATTATGTTATATAATAAGTTTGCACGCCTTGTATATCAATGTGAGCGTAAACATTCTTTATTTCGATCGGTAATGTCTTACAAAACAAAAAGAAAGAAGCGACATAGAATAGGAAAGCAAATTATTATAATATATACATTATATAATAGATGAATTAAAAAAATATATTTACATATATGTTATTAGATGCGCAACTAAGTTCTCGCTGTTATTTTGATGCATTTTCATCAAAATCACAGCGAGAACTTAGTTGCGCACCTAATATATAACAATAAGTTTCTAAATGACTTTGTCATTTTTTTTAAATACTTGATAATTTATTATCACTGTATCATAGCAATTCACGTTTTACGTTTACGAAATAAAAATTTATTATATAATATATAAAAGTTATGGAAATATACATATATAAATTATACATGCATACATAAAATGATAACGGTCTTCTTGCAATGACATTTTTGGAGGATATATGCATTATATGTATATAAATGCGAAAAAATTATGTTGTGACAAAAGCATCGTGAATGTTATAGTCGTTTTAGAAAAGTTAGTAATTTCAAAAATTGCCTTTCTTTACACATAAGAGTATAACGTATAAACACCGTGCAAAGAATCGTTTTTTACTACTCTATCAGTGCATGTGTAATATCTCATTCGAATCACTTTTATTCTCTCGCTAAGGTATATTTATCCATTGTTTAGGTATATTTATCCTTGTTTGTTTTTTAATAAATAACTGAGAGAATGATGTTTTCAATTTTTATTACGTACTATTTTCCAGACATTAATTGTGTTTCAATTATTACAATTAGAAAATAAATATTTTTGCTTTAGTAAATAACAAAAAAATATTAAGTACATTTAAGAAGTAATTAAAAATTATATATATATAACATAAAATTAAAATGTATATATAAAAACACATTGTATAAAATTATAAATATAAATAGTATACTATTCTTATGCGAATAGATAGACGCAAATTATAAATGTTGTCTTTAAATAAAATTACATAGATATTCGATAAAATTGATATACCTAATATATTCTTAAGGCTCTCAAGTTTTATTATCAATTTTAGAAGAATTCGTTATAATTGCTAATTATAAATTATATAAATTAAGTAAAATTAAACAAAGATTTTGATTGAAAATTGCGTTACTTTTAATTGTGCCGTAGATCTTACTTTATTAATTGTCTTTTTTGCTTTCAAAAAGATTTATTTATATTTTCACATTTATAATAATAAAATTTAGATAATAATATAACATAGGATCGCAATATAATTATTTCTCGATTTTATGTTATAAAAGAGTATATAAAAGAAGTTCTGATAATCAATACAGATTTGATCAGTAAAAAATCCGAAATGACAACACCAAGTGTTTTTAAGATTAAAACTGATATAATACGATTTATTGCTCTCTAAGTCTTTCTATTGCATTTATGGTATACTGACTTTCAACTACTGAAAAAATTTACAATATGAAGTGAGAATTTTTATACTTTTGTATATAGGCGAATTTAAAGAAAAAAACGTGAAAATTTTTCGAAATTTTTCTCATTATCAACTATTAGTGTATCAGTCCCTTTCAAATAAAATCAAATTTTCAATGTAATCCAAAATAGTTAAAGTTAATAATTTTTTCTAATCATATCTTTTTCTTGTACTGCCAAAAATTGATAAAATTACCAAGTTTATAGTTTACTAAAAGTGTATATATAAAAAATAAAATAATTATTTATAAATAAAAAAATTGATACTAAATTATTTTATCTATAAATAATTATTTTATTTTTTATATATATACATGAAGAAAAAATACTGGAACTAAAATATATCAAAAAATATAAATTTCATAGAAAACTGTTTCAGATGAAAATGATGGGGATTAAAAAAGACTATCAACCGGTTTTATCAGTTTGACCTTGAGTGGCATTACCAAGTTCAGATCAAGGTTACATCGATTTTTTTTTAAATAAAAATCCCTGTTTTTTTTGTATATTTTTATAGCTTATTTCAAGAACTCTTCAAAATATTTTAACAAAATATTTCTTTATTAAGTACTTTTTGAGTTACAATATATAAGATTTGAAAGTTATACTACCGCTGGCGTTAGAGGGAGCTTTATCTGAGGTGTCCAACTGTTGGTTAAAACCTTTTAAATTTTGTTCAGGGTCATGACCTTAATAACATTTGTAAAGATCAAGAGATTTGGAGATTATTCCTCTTATTTTCATTTATACACTAAAATGTGAGTATTTTGAACAAATATAAAATATAATACTAATTATATGTATATATCCGATTTTTTTATTATTCGACCTAATTTTGGGTCACATCTTGTCGGATAATCGAGGTTCTGCTGTATATAATACAATTTATATTTTATTAAGATAATTATATTTAAAAAAAAAGAAACAATTTTTTAAATTACCTGGATATATCTTTGATCAACATCCGATGAACACATGTCTTGTCTGATTTTATTTAACTTATAATTAGTCGAATTCCGATCTCGGTGCTTTGGACAACATAGGATGAGCCCCGCTTCATTTAATACAATTTTTTTTGTGAGATCCACGGATGAATATTTCAAATCGTAGGTTTATCATAATTTCGTGCAAATTGATAAAATAATAATGTGTAATTAAATCTGTTATTTCTGACGATTTATAATTCCATGGAAACACATGATGGAAATTGTGATAATCTTCTCCTATTGAAAGTTAACAAAATTATTTGATAGTTGTTCCTGAAAACAAAACCTGTATTAATTCCTGTTCATAATTACATTAAAAGTTATTAGGTCTAATAAGAATGCATCCATTTTCTTACGAATATGTTAACTCCTAAATATCTTTTTGATATGGCATATTCGAATTTTCTTCTGCTGTTTTTTCAATGCTTATCATTTTTTTTATTATTAAAACCACTCACCATATTTTAATAAATTATTATCATTTTGACAGCTCCATTAGATAGTACAAATATAATACTTGTTCTAGAAATCTTTAACATGTCAGACTGTAATTTACTATGGATATCGGCACTAAGGGAAAATTAAGTTTTTTGGACACTATGATTATGATTGATAACCATAAGATTATTTTTGACAGATACAAGAAGATCACCTATTCGGGCAGATATCTTAATTTTCATTCACACCATTCTTTACGTCACAAAAGGGGTGTTATCTTCGATTTCGTTGATAAAATATTAGGTGTTGGAATTAATTCGTAGCGTTTTTTAATGAAAGAATGTTATTTATTTCACATGAGCATTAAAAAATACATTAATGAAAGTACTTCCCATCACTTGTAAAACGCTACGAATTAATTCCAACACCTAATAGTTAAATAGCTAAATTATCTCATCCTTGTTTCCACGAAAAGAATTTGGTTGATGTTATTAATATTTTTCCAAATAATAGCTATCCTCTTCCTTTCATTTTTTCAACAATTAAAAAAAGATTAAAATATTACACACAGAACAATAAGGTAAAACATAATATCCATGTTAAAGAGAAATTCTTTATAGTTTCACATACAAACTCTATCTCTGAAAGTTTTTTACTTATAGCATAAATGTATATTATCATATTTAATTCCAAATACATTAAAAAACCTTATAACTAGAAGTAAAGATAGATTAAATCATTTAGCTAATCAAAATGTTGTATATAAAATTTCTTGTGATAACTGTGAAGCTAGTTATATATGTACAAACCAAAAGAAAATTAAAAACAAGACTAAATGAACACATTTCGGACATTAATAAAAATATTGGTTTTCTATCGATGATTACTGACATCATATTAACTATAACCATAATTTTAATTGGAAAGATGTAAAGATCTTAGACAAGAAATCGTACAATAAAAGATTAATCTCCGAAATGATTTACATTAAAAAACAAAAATTGGGATTAAACAAACAAAACTACACGGAAACATTACCTAATTCGTATCAACAAATTTTGCAGCCTTTTTCTTTTTCCTAGTCTTTCCTTCCTTTTCTTTTTCCTTTGTGTTTCTTTCCTACCTCTATTCCCCTTCCAATCTCATTCCCTCTCTCTTAACAGATCATATAAAGCAACAGAATGCATTCAAGATTGAGAAGGAATAGACATTTGTTTTTTGCAATTCCTATATAAATGAATAAAAATGCATTCAGGATTGAAAAGGATTCATTTTAACATTCATGAATCCGTATTTCTAAAAATCTGAATCCATTTTAATTCATTATTTCAATCCATACTCGTTTGCTGAGATAGCTGTTAAAGCCGTATTACAATTTAAACTATTTAAGGCATTGTTACGGAAGTAAATAATATCGAAAATTCTTATGTTTATGTTATAATGTATTTTTAAAGATTTTATTGCGATCAAGATTATTACTTGCGAAATATTTTGCAATTATAAAATTAATGAAATATTTTAAAAATTATATAAATATTTTCAAAATGTATTAAAACAAAGAAAGCAGAAGAAAGCAGAATATGAAAAGAATTATTATATATATATATATAATCTATATATTATATTATATAATAAAAGAATTATAAAAAAATATATATATATAATAGTAAGTTTCTAGATAATTTTGCTATTTTTTAGAAATATCAGATGATTTTATGTATCACTGCATGATAGCAACAATCCACGTTCGTATGAAGCTAAAAAAATTAATATGTAAATATATGGAAATTGTGGAAATGTAGATAAATTTACATGCATACATAAAATGATATCGATCTTTTTATAATGACATTAAAATTTGGAGAATATAATATGCGATATATCAATGCGGAAAAATTACATTATGACAAAAGCATTGTGAGTGTCATAGTCGTTTAAAAAAAAATAGTGATTTGAAAAATTGTTTTTTTCGCACATGAAAATATAAGATAAACAGCGTGAATTAGAATAATTGAACCAATTTTTTACGAGAAAATTATCGATCTCACATTTAATTTTCGACTTAACAACACAGAGCAGATGCGTGGATAAATTTTTAATATGTTTTTAATATGTTTTAAACAATTTTTATAACTCAACGTGTCCGCTTTTGTGCTCAATTCAGCAGTTCACACGATATATTATCCACCGATTTGTATCGTTAAATCGATAATTAAGTGTGTAATGGATAATTTTAATAAATTAGAAAAATGCCTATACCGATTAAAGCTGGATCTTAAATGCTTAAATAAATTCAATATAATAATTATATATAGATAAATAAATGGCGAGAGACGACATCAAAACAAAAATCGAAATGATGAAACCAAGTATTTTCAAATTCGAAACTGATATAATATGGTTTAATGCTCTCCAAATCTTTCTATTGCACGCTATTGGTATTTATGGTTTATTGACTTTCAACTACTGGCAAAATTTGATTACTACAATATGGAGTAAGTATTTTTATGCTTTTGTATATTAGGGGAATTTAAAAAAGATTTCCAAAATTTTTTGAAGTTTTTCTCATTCAATTATTAGTATATCTGCCTCTTTCCAATGAAATCAAATTTTCAAATTAGTCCAAAACAGTTAATATAATTCTTGCCAATCACATATTTTTGTATTGCAAAGGTATATTGATAAAATTATTAAGTTTACAGTTCAAATTATTAAGGATAATTAATTTGATAAGCTTTTTTTTTTGAAAGCATCTACATGCTGTGAGCATATGGCATTTAAAGAAAGAAAATCAAGAAAATCAAGAAATTATGTAAAACAATATACTGAAAGTCTTAAAATTTTCTCAAAAATTTCTGTGTATGTTTATTATAGAGTAATTCTAATATATTTTAACGGGCGGGATTTATGCCCAAAGCATACAAAACGCGCAGATTGAATTCAGTATATTAAATGCAATAAACGCATTACATGAAATATGTATCTCATGTCATAACACTTGTAATGTATGTAAGAAGATTACGTAATATATGTACGCCGCAACTATCAAAAACTTAATTTATTAAGTATTATTTATTATGTTTAAAGTAAACAAACTATCAGAACAAATTATATCAGTAAAAACTTTGTACTATCTATTACTATGAAAAAAATATTAGAAATCCGAAATATTTATTTTTCGTATTAAAGTATGTAAGAAGATTACGTAATATATGTACGCCGCAACTATCAAAAACTTAATTTATTAAGTATTATTTATTATGTTTAAAGTAAACAAACTATCAGAACAAATTATATCAGTAAAAACTTTGTACTATCTATTACTATGAAAAAAATATTAGAAATCCGAAATATTTATTTTTCGTATTAAAAAATAAACTTTTTGAAACCCTTGCATTTTTGCGGTATATTCCAGGGGTGAGATATATGGCTACTTATAGGAGGAGGGACGATATATATGGATCATGAAAAAAATACAAATAATGCATATAAATAAGATGTAAAATGACAATAACTTATAAAATGCATTTATAAAGTTTTATTAAGGAATAAGAAGAAATAATAAATATGTATATAAAGTAATAAATAATAATTACAAGCTTCCTACCTATAATATATTACAAATGTTATAACATGAGGTATATATTTCATATAATGTATTTATTGTATTTAGTGCATTGAATTCAATCTTTGTATGCTTTGGACATAAATCCCGCCTGTTAAAAATGCTACATATCCGAATCAGGTGGGATATACAAGACAACAAACTAAACAAAGAATACAAGAGCAAAATATTTGTATTTTGTTATATAACAGCTTTACTATTCCTCTACACTCATGTATCACAAAATAATCACTAAGTTTTTTGCACGTTCTTTAGCACGTTCTACAGTAATCATTTTATGTAGATTATAATTTATGATGGCGCTACTTAACACAGTGACAAATCGATTCAACTCACAATAATTTCATTAATATTAATATTAAGAAACTGAAATCATAACTCAGTATTAATATAATGTAAAAATATGTAACAGAGTAATTGTGGGAAAATTATCCCCATTCCTTCTATTTTTTCTGATTTCTGCAACATAAATTCTGGCGCTGCATATTTGCCGGAGTTACTACTACTACTTATGTTCTCAAATATATGTATATTTGTAAAACATTTTAAGAGTATCCCATATACACATACGTTACTTGACTTCTTGTTTAAATATATAAACATAAATATATTTTTTCATATTTTTAAGTAATCGCTATGTATATCATATCCAATATTGGAGTGTCTGGTGGCGCTCATCGACTTTGGACTCACAAAAGCTATAAAGCAAAGTTACCATTAAGGATTCTACTTTTGATATGCTTTAGTGCAGGTGTACAGGTAATGTCAATAAATTTGCTATTTTACATATATTATATGTAAAGTACAAGTACGTGTATAACTTCATCATTTCTTGCATTTATTAAATAATTCTAAATTATATGTGCACAAAGTGTCTTCTTCCGTTACGAAAGAAATCAAAGTAAACAATATCTGATAAAAGAACTTTTACATGAAAACGAATCATTAACATGAAACAAAATTTTATGTAAGTGTTTAATTAGCATAAAAATTATAAAGAGAGTCAAGAAGTTACATAGGTTCTTAAATTTTCTCGAAAGAAATCAGCTTCAATTTTACACACAATTTTTCACAAAATTCATAAAATCTGTTTTTTTTTTAGTTGAATTTCTCTTATATCGCTCAATCTTTCTTTTTTTCACATTACAAAGAAAAAAAATGGACAGAGCAATAAATTCAATTAAAAAGAACAAACCGACAGCTAATGCTTATATTTTAAACATAGCTATTTATATTCATGTGTAAATAACATTTTAATTATTTTAGAATACAATATGCAGTTGGGTGAAAAATCATCGTATGCACCATAAATATTGCGACACTAATGCTGATCCTCATACTTCTCAACGCGGCTTTTTTTATGGGCATGTGGGATGGGTGTTTATGAAAGAACATCCGGAATTTATTAAAAAAAGCAAGCAGCTTGATTTATCAGATATTTTGTCAGATCCTGTTGTGGTTTTCGGCGAAAGGTAAATTTAATTAATTGTAGGCTACATACATATTTATTATTTTACAATTACATTATTTTCTAAATATAATAAAAAAACTCAAATAATATAAATAATTATATGCAAATATCCGTAATATGTAAGGTTGCATCTATTATATTTTTATGCATCAACATACAGTCACTATAACGGGTTGCCTATTCAAGCGGGCAGATCGTTTATAAACAACCCGTCATACTAACATGTATGTTAAGTACAATACAACACGCGATGCAATATAGTAATTTTACTCTCCTTACATAAAACATAAATTCGACAATTTTTTATTATAAAATATAATATTTCTAAATTTATAGAATATATAAAAATATATTACTGATTTGAATTTATAGAAATGATATATAGAATATATATAAACATATTACTGATTTGTTGCATAACTCGAAAACAAAGTTTTTCAGAAAATAAGTTTGAAAGCATTGAATCATTGTAATATTATTTAGAAACTTTGTAATATTATTTTAAAACACAATTTTGGTGTAATAATAATTTGTTATAGAGGAATAAAAGTATATTCTTTTAAAATATTCCTTTTTTTTTCTTTTTTTTCATTCTCCTTTTGCAAGCAACTAAAAAATATTTGATATTTTTTAGTTGCTTGAAAAAGAAGAATATTTTCTTTACATCGCAATTGAGAAGCAAATAGGCGATATAAATCCGAAAAATCAAAGTTGCATTTTTGTAGGTACTTCTTGCTTCTTCAACTTTTTTTTGGTTTTATCCTACCTACGTCACTACCTGTGTATCTATGGAACGAGACATGGAACAGAGCTATTGTATCGCAAATATTCATAAGATACATGATTACGTTAAATGCCGTGTGGTCTATCAATAGCATTGCTCATGTGTGGGGCACTAAGCCATATGATAAGTGCGTAATTTGAAATTGTTATCATGGTATAATTTAAAATTTATATTTTTATACAGTTGAGTAATAGAAATTCTTATCACCTGCGGAGAAAAATATATTATAAATTTTTATAATTTTAATGAATTTATTCCGTTACCGATATAGCGGATAATCGTCTTACAATTAAATAATTAATCCTTAAATGCATATCACTATGATAACAACTGATATATGCTATACCTTACTCAATTTGATTGTTTATATGTTTCATAAAAATAAACATATCGTAAAATATTTTTGTTAATTAAAATGTAAGATATTAAAAAATGTAACAGCAGCAAGTAGCCAAACAAATGTATGTGTGACTTCCTGTACAGAATTGTCCAAAGACGTTCAAAGTCTAAAGGATCCCATATCCTAAAGATGTTTTCAAAATGTCCTTCGGATAAAATGTATTGTGTAGGGTTATTAATAAAAAGGCGATAAGTAATGAACAAAATGTCGGCAAAAACAGTAGAACAAAATTCGGATATGTTATGTTAAAAAGACATTTAAAAGTTTCGAGAGAAAATGGATGCATTTTCATTGGTTCAAGGATTTTTAATATAATTATAAGCACAAATTAATTACAGCTCTTGTTTTCAGGAATATAAAACCGTCAGACAACGATTTTATTAATTTTCTGACAATAGGAGAAGGTTATCACAATTTCCACCATGTGTTTCCATGGGATTACAGATCATCGGAAAAAGGAAATAATAGATTTAATTACACTACATTTTTTATTGATATTTGCGCAAAATTAGGACAAGCCTATGATCTTAAATATCCATCCGAGAATCTCATAAAAAGTATTGTATTAAACAATGGAGACGGGACCCATCCTATATTGTCCGAAGTACCGATACCGGAATCCGACTAGTTATAAGTTAAAGAAAGTCAGTCAAGGTACGTGCGTCGGACCTTGGTCAAAGATGTATCTAGTTTTAAAAATATTTCAGAAATATTTGAGAGAAGAGACATCAAAGATATATTTTCTTCTGTATTTTTATATAGAATTTTTTTAAATTGATCTTTGTTTATACAATAACCATAATATTCCATAGGTATATGTCAATGTCTATTAGATACTTTAATTTAAACTAACAATAAAAATTATTACAAAATTAGTCAATAATGTGTACCAAAGAGCAATGTAAATTTTTGTTTTTGAATCTAGATATCGAGCCAGTTTTAAAAAATTTCTTAAACAAAAAAAATTATGATAATATTCTGGATCCTTAATGTTTCATTTATACAACTTAGTAAAAGATTCTTCTATTGCCTATAAAGAGCAATAAAAAAAAAATATATATATATAAAATAATAAAGTATTATTAATCTTCTTGTCAATGCATCGCATTCATATCAAGTTCAATGTTAAAAATTTTTATATTACTTGTCATTACTAGGCTATATATGTATATCTCTTGATAGTAATAATTCTAAAATTAATATTTTTCTGTATCTTTTTAATTTAAAATTATAATTTTAAAAGCGCTTCTAAACATGATCAATGTATACGCTTTTGCACACATTCATTAAATATTGACTTATATTTAATATGGATAATTATATTATGTATGTGTATGATATTTGCTAATGTTTACGAACATTGGCCGTCTGAAGGCGCCTTTATAGTGAACAATATGTATAATGAGAGCAAATAGTATTTGTACAAGGCAATTTGTTATAAAAAAAAGCCTTATTTGTAGAAAATAAACATTAATTAGCAATTTTACACGATGAATACATTCTGTTCTAACATAAACAAAATACAAGCATCTCATGTATTCCAGATTTTAGAAGCTAAATTTTTTGTCTGTATGAATATTTTTTGAGCATTCAAACAATACAATTTTTAATTTTCGCTTATTTTTCAGATGATACATTTTGTATAATTAATACACATCTTTTTGTTATATATAATTTTAAGAAACGTACAGTCTATTTTATTTTTTATGAATAAAATGTTAATTATCCAACAAGAAATAATCGTCAATTAAACGTCGAATCGATCAAATTGATATTCAAATTATCGTATTTATATCGATTCGACATCAATTTGATGACTTATTATTCGTTGCATAATATTTACTTTTTAAAATTTACTTTTTAAAAATAAAATTTAAAAAAATATTTTTTTTGTACGAATACTTTGCATTCACTATTAATATTTTAACTGATTCTAGTGTTTGAAAAATGATTTTTTATGATTAGGGTGTCAACGCTACCTTTTTATCTCGAAAACTATGTCCGCGATATTTCCTTCATGTTGATAATAATATTTTTGTAAATATTATGTATTAATAAAGAACAGCACAAAAACATTCAATATCATACAAAATATCAGGTGTATAACTTTGCTTCCGCCATTTTCTTATAGATGGCTTTAGCGGTGATCGAAATAAATAAATCATAGACGTCATACAATAAACTTGGACATCTGTCAACATAACTCCATAGAAACATTAGTCGATTTGTGTTTGCATCATAAAGTTATTCTCGATTGAAAATGTCAGTTTACGAACCAAATTCTCGTCATTTGCGGGAGGTTTTAATTTTCTTCAATATGAAGAAATCTGCGGCTGAGGCTCATCGAATGCTCTCAAATACTTATGGTGAGGCCGCTATTAGTGAAAGAACGTGTCGTGAGTGGTTTCAACGCTTCAAGAACGGTGATTTTGAAGACCGGCATAGCAGTGGAAGAGAGAAGGTTTTCGAAGATGCAGAATTGGAGGCATTACTTGATCAAGACTCGTCAAGACGTATCAAAATCAAGAAGAATTGGCACGATCATTGGAAGTGACTCAACAAGCCATTTCAAAATGCCTCAAAATCATGGGAATGATTCAGAAGCAAGGAAATTGGGTGCCGTTCACGAGTTGAAGCCGAGAGATGTTGAACGGCGTTTGTTTGCTTGTGAACAGCTGCTTGAAAGGCAAAGACGGAAGGGATTTCTGCATCGCATTGTGACTGAGGACGAAAAATTCATTAAGATAACCCCAAGCGCAAAAAATCATGGGGAGTTCCCGGCCATGCTTCCACGTCGACGTCAAACCGAATATTCACGGCTCCAAGGTCATGCTCTGTATTCGATGGGACCAGCTCGGCGTAGTGTATTATGAGCTGTTAAAACCGACTGAAACAATCACAGGCGGTCGATATCTAACGCAATTGATGTATTTGAGCCGAGCATTGAAAGACAAACGGCCGCAATACAACGAGAGACACGATAAAGGGGTTTTGCAGCATGACAATGCTCGACCCCATGTTGCGAAAGTGGTCAAGATATACTTGGAAACGTTGAAATAGGAAGTCCTACCCCACCCGCCGTATTCTCCAAACGTTGCTCCCTCTGACTATCACTTGTTTTGATCAATGGCACACGGCCTGGCTAACCAGCACTTCCGGTCTTATGAAGAAGTAAAAAATTGGATCGATTCGTGGATCGCCTCAAAAGATGACCAGTTTTTTGGACGCGAGATTCGTACGCTGCCCGAAAGATGGGAGAAAAAAATAATGGCCAGCGATGAACAATACTTTGAATTATAAATGTATAACCAGTTTTTTTACAATAAAGTCTCGAATTTCGGAAAAAAAATGGCGAAAGCAAAGTTATACACCTAATATATAGCAATGCACCTACTCAACACATGTTGAAATATTGACAATGAGCATAAGACATTGAGTATATTAAAATTTTTTACACATGTATATTTTTCGACACAAAGTAAATATATCACAATTTTTTTTGTTCGGAGATTTTTTAAAATAGAATGTAAACTGATTTTTAACCGTTATTATTTCGAAATTTCTATAAAATACAGAACATAAACTTATTTTTAATCATTAATACGCTATGACGTCTTTGCGAAACATCTATATTCTAAAATATGCACTGATATATCCGATGATGAAATATATCCGGTGAATTAAAAAAAAAAATAAAAATATACATTGACAGAAAGGTTAAATACTGTGAATTAATGAAAAATACGATCTTCTTAATTTTCATTTGAAAAGCTAATAATTCATAGAATTTTTCATAGAATTCAAAACAGGAAGCATTGTTAATACAGTGATGATTTTCATAAACTATCCTTTCAAAAATTTCCAATATTTAATTTACTTATTAAGAAATGTAAATTTGTTTCATGAAATAATGTTATTTCTGGAATAACGTTTAAACCGCTTTTGCATATACGTAAGTAGCAATTATACATTATTATGGAATATTAATATAATAAATATATATTTTAATCGAATTAAATGTGAAGGCAAGAAACATAAATAATTTTGCTTTTTGAAAAATTTTTGAACAAAAAGTAATTAAAAAATCGCCTGTTTTTTGGTCATGTGATTTTAGGACAGAATCTCGAAGTATTTTTTACGATAGCCATTTCCAAATTATGTAATCCTATGTAATAAATGTTATTAATTTATTTATTATAAAATAACTCAAGGAAAGATCACACAAGCTTTTATTTTTGAATTATTTTTTAATGTAATTGAATTAAGCTACGAAAAATATATTATTTATATTTTAGAGACTTTTTTATACTAACGAATTAAACTTTTGATATTTCTTATTATTGAAAAACAAATTGATATGATATATCTTGCAAAAGTGACATATTCTCATATATATATAAGTAAGGTGTCACTTTCTATGAGAGAAGGTGCTACATACAATTAAATTATATGACGTAATATAAACTTGCATGTTTTACTTATCTACAGTATGCAGTACTGTAGACAAACTAGAATTAAAGTTATAAAAATATTTGTTTTGTTTGTTACCAGCAAATTAAAGTTTATATTTTAACTGGATGACATGTTTTATTTATTAACGGTTTAAGAAAAATTTTTTAAATTTATAATAATTGTTTTAGCAGCCCTTTGTCTTTTTGTTTGTTAAATTTATTAAGCCTTATTATTATTACAGTTTATAAAAATGTATATACATATAAATACGTACACATGTATATAAAATCGAAATTGAGAAAATATAAATAGAGTAATTAACGAGCTATCGTTAGGTATACTAAATATTTATTAATCACAAATATTTATTAATCACAAATTATAATTTTTCGACGATAAATTTCAACAGTACGTTTCGATTATACTTATTTCTCATCAGCCTTTCTCGTTATTAAGCGATGAATTAGTTCGGAATCATGACTCTTCACTACATCGTTTATTATTTATCAAGTTTGACTATGATATGACTGTGATATACCGTCCTTTGTAACACGAAGGTAAGATGATTTTTAAAAATCTGTATTATCTTATATTATCTATTGTTACTCGAATTTGTGAATATTGTGAGATGATCCTCATAATAGGGTAACTCCAGCAAATACGCCGCACTGGGATTTATGTTGCAGAAGTCAGAAAAAATAGAAGTAGTAATTTTTCCGCAATTACTCTATTACATGTCTTTATATTTCATCCACTCTAGGATTATTTCATCCTTCTTGTTATCAAATATTTAACAAGGATGATACACGCAAACGTTGCGAATGTTAAGTAGAACGCATCCTATATATATATATATATATGTATATATGTGATTGATAATGAATATTTAAAAAAAACTTTTTGAACAATGAACTGTCATTTTTAAAAATCAATTTAAAAGAAATAAGAGAATCTTACTTAAAGTTATTTTGAAATAGCTGGTATATAAAAAAAATAAAATATTCGTCTTTAGAAATAAACATTAAAGATAAGAACTTCTTGTACAAAGCATTATATATAAATTATATATATTATTTTATATGTACTATAGCTTCTAAATTCTATACAAGACAAAAGATTATGAGATAATTCATTTGCGATTTACATTCAATTATTATAAATATGAAAAAAAAATTTAATTCACTAAAAATGTCCCTCATTTTGAAATTTTTAATGATAGTATCGATGCTGTTACATCATTGCAAAAATGTTATACACGATCTGTCTCAAAAGAGAGTTTCCGAACTTTCATTAAAACTTACTGTGTAAAGTAATAATTATAAATTTTTATTTATAATCATTCGAAGTACATCCCTTCCGAAAAAATATTTGCAACGATACAATTTTAGGAAACTCTGAAAGTTTTTCTTTGAGATGATTGAAATGGCCTCGGTCAATGACTTCTGAATATTAATAAAAATAATAATAATTTAAAGTAGTAATAGTAGTTAAATTAGTGGCTTCTGCCTCCAGAGAAATGAGAAGGTCACAGAACAAATAGATAAATATATTAAATTTTACACTAAATATACTAAAAATTTCTAAATTTTTGCTTTATAATTTGATGTTTAGTCTATTGTGATTTCTCGACAAATATCACAAATTGAAGGTATTGTCGGTTTTATATTTGTGATAAAATAATTGTCAGAAAGACCGGTAA